TTACCTAAATAAAACAGCTAGTATAATGATGATGTTTAAGTCAAAAAAAAAAAAGGAAAAGCTCATGAAAATATAGTAATTTCTAAATGACAGAAATATACACACATTGTTACTTGACAGCATGAAATGGCCGGAAATTCAAATTCTTCTGTTTCAATCAGAGAAAGAGTCAACCACAATTGACAAGAATTCTTTGAAGAGATTAATAAAGTTACAAGAAAAAACATTTTGCTGCATCCAAATACATAAACCAAATGTTTTATATTTTATACAGGTCAGATCAACTCTACATGTTTTAAAATAAGTGCCACTCTCCATTATTTTTTCCATAAGTTTTACATTTGCATTTGATCACTGTTAAACCTATTTACATCCTAATAAAATTCTGTATGTTCTCCATTTTTTACTTTTGCTAGCTGATTCAGAAATGAAACCAGATGGTAAAATATTTCTTTCCTACTCTCAAGAAAACATGAAGGATCTATACTACATGCCTTCTTTTAACAGAATGACTATCGGCTCTAGTGCAGTTTCTGCATTTGTTTAGCGTCATGTAGAATATCTGTAAAATAAACCAGAAGGATGACTTCTGTCTTAACGCTGCATAGCAAAGACATTGCTGGTAAAAACGTGGCATTATGTCTTTGCTCCAGGATCAAGCAGAAGCCAGATCAAGATAAGGACAGAGAAAATTTTTTCAGATATATACAATAAGGGGATTATTATTAAAACTTCAGCATTTGCTTCAGTTTGTTACTAAGCACAAACTACATATTGCCAATTCTACTACAGTATACATATTATATTGTATAGCAACAATACATTTGACAAATGCAATCTTTAGCATAATGAAACACCGTGGGGTGGATGCCAGCAATCACTTTGTATGTCATTTACTCCAATTCATTCCAACAGTCCTATTGACCTGATGAGTGGGGCTGCACAAAAGAAACAATTTAGTAGGCCCAAGCAAAGATGCCTTGAAAGATCAAGACTTCAATACACAGATCTTGGAGACAAACTCATTCTTTCTTGAATAATGAAAGCTTCATAATGCTGTTTAAGTGAGATTTCAATGTACTTTTTTGAAGTGGGATTTCCTAATTTATTTCAAAAAATCACAAACTTTCCTTTTCTTCATTATTATGCTGAACAACAGTGTAGCGCTATGGGCTGCAGCTGCACACCAATGGCACACAAACCCTGCTTTCTTTGCTAGTCCCTTCATGTATCTATACAGGCTAACTGCATGAAAAGTAGTATCATCTCCTTCTCTACTTCATTCTCCCCTACTCCCTTCATTCTTTGTCTTTTCTTTTTGGCGAGAGAATAACTTGTTATGAGCCTTCCCGATATTTATCTCCTTCTACATACTATTTCCATGTCACTCTGTCCCCCAACCAAATACGCAGAACCAAGGGAACCATGAAAAAAATCACTCGGTCACCTTAGAAAGAACTTTTCACCTGTAAGATGCTGCCCTAAATCCCTAGAGACCTGACAAAACAGAACCCAGAGAGATATGTATTTAGATCTTATACTTTGGTGAATTTCCAGTTTTCTAAAAATCTATTTTTGAATGTTATAGTTTTCCAAACAATACAGAGGAAATAATTCTTGCTTTTTTATACCTTCTTCCCCTCACTGGCCCCCCTTTCTTTCTTTAACGTTAGAAATAACTGAACAATTCTCCTCTCAAACTTCAAACTGTTAAATCCTGGTCTGAAAGCAAAATACAAAATTTCCACCAGACTTATCACCTTTCATCCCTCCACAAATGCTATAAACTATGCTTTGCAATGACACCTACAGAACTTTAAATACAGACTCTGAGCTGCACAACATTCATAAAAACAGCATTTGTGGGCTGCAGCTGGCTTCTGAATAGCTGCAGCATTTTTGGATGTTAAAAACTTTTAGCTGAGCTATCACAACTGACTATATGACCTCTATTAGTCCTTTTCAATGCAAAATGAAACTTCTTTACAGAAAATTGTTATACTCACTACCAAGAAAGGCACTGTTAGCTGCTGCAGCAGAAATGATAACAGAAAACTATTGAACAGCAATTTTTGAAACTACTGTAGCTACTTCACAGGTGAGCAACTTACTGGGAACTCGATTGGATTTACCTGGGTGCAGAATAGTTATCAGATTCTGTATTATTATCAGATTCTGTATTATTATATCTTACTTCATGTTGACAGCCATCACTCAGATCATGTCCTTGCAAAAATCTAAGAACAACAGACAGGAATTTACAGACATTGCTTTAAAGCTCATATGTCCCAAGCCTTCTTTCTATATTATTTCTTTATGTATCATCCCCTTACATTTACATATGCAGAACAAGGAAGGAATTAAAAAATTACTTACTTGGAACCTCACCTTAGAAAGCATGGTCCAATCATCAAAACCTAAGAACTTGAATAATGAATATATTTAGTAATGTCCAACTGTTCTATTTCCTTCCACAAAACAAAAATGTGAATCATAATACTGAGGACATATTTTAACTAACATGGAGATAATCCTCAGAATTTAATAAATAAATATACCTTGCCAAATTTTTAGGATATTTTAACAAGTTTATAGGCACCTATGATTTACAGAAAGAAAAGAAACCATGCAGCATGTTTTGTAACTGACCCACTCCCTGGGATCGTTTGGAGCAATAGATGTGCACTTTGTCGGCAAAAGAGAGTTGCTGCACTTTTGTTTGCCTGTTTATATACACAATTTTCTACTATTTTGTAACAAAACCATTACTAAGAACATATACACAAATTTTTGTTTTGCCTCATCTATTACTTAGAAAAAAAAATTAACATATTTTAAAATGAAGTTGTGATGCATAAACCAAGGGGGAAAAAGCACATCTCAAATACTAAATCTCAAGTTGTGCTTACAGGCTGACAAGCAAGAGAAAAGGACGAAGAATCCAACTCCTAAACCAAGCTTCCCGAGGAATCAGGAGCAGCAGGCACTAAATTCTACAATTTCATTTCTACAGAATGACTTTTTAAACACACTTATGGAGTCCAGCTGATAAAAGAACATCCATTTTCATTTTTGTTCATTTTTTGAGATGTCTGAGTCATACTTTGTCAACCTTCTGAAAGTGAATACAATTAAAAAAAACCAGTATTTTCTCTTAAATCTTTAAACACAAAATGGGCAAAGGGCACTCAGTTGATAGAAGTGTAATTGTATAGGATCCACAGGATTTTTGATATTTGTCTCATTCCATTTTGGAAAAAAACTGTGAGATATAGGGTAAGCAAACAGAGCAAGCATCTCAGTCCTCAGCTACTATATTTGTGTGCACACATCACACAAGAAGAGCCTTGTGACTCTTCTGTGGGCAGCACGCCACTGACTGCCATACTGTCAAGTAGGTGATTTATGTGATCGGGGAAGACATGTGCATGATATTTCCTTCTGCTCATTTCCTCTCTAGGCCTGTAGTTTAATTTGGAGAGAAATGTAAGTTTCTACCAGCCTGCCCACATTTTGTTGGAGATAGATAGCTTTTAATGTTTTAGTACTGTGACTGAAACAACTCAAAATTTTATTGCAGTCTCTATTTTGCACAGGTGAAATTTACCTGGATGAAGCACAAAGATGCTGCACTGCTTACACTCCTGTCTGCTCTGTGTTAGAAGTGTGAGTGGATTCCTGTGGTATTTAGACCCAATACAGGCCTAACCTAATATAATATTTACATAAAGAATGACAAAATATTGTACAATAGGCAGCTGGAGAAAATGCATATGCATCTGTTGTGTTGATCAAGCCATATGCAGTGAACCGACATAGATGCCTCAGTAGCATGGATCATTTACTGGAAAGGACTTTCAAAATTAGAATTAGAAAGACCAAGGTGAGGAATAGTTATTCCCACGTCTGCCCGGATATTCTGCGGGTTATTGTGCCCATCAAACTGCTAGCCAATCTGGAGCTTTTTCTGAACGACTTTTTCAATACTGCAAGTGGATACTACTCCACTGTCCTGCTTTTAGAGATGGAGAAAAAAATTTCATCTTGCTAATGATCCGCCCAACAACCCAAAAGATTCAACTTCAGGTTAACTTTTCTCTAGACTCTGAATGAATGCTGCAGGTATTGAGGAATCACGCAGTTGGGGAATCCTTGGCTAAACTAAGAATGTGATTTGAAACTAGCTTGGGTATCATTTCATAGATCAATCCTTTGGACTGTAATGACATGCATCAACTAGAAATGGATTGCTGTGTCACAGTACTCCAATCCTGAAAACAGAGCAATATAGCAGAAGACATTATGCTACCTTAAACAGGTCCTCTTCCCTGGAGATATTTTGATACTAAGCATGCAATAGACAAGGCTTGTTATTATTAGTAATAACCCCTTTCAATGGCCAGACTCCTGGAAATGTCTCAAAACTTCTAGAAATAAAGTAGCCAACAGAGTATTTAACATGCAGGATAACTCTGTTGTTACAAAATCATTTTCTGTCAAGTCCCCGTTCTGGAAGCCATGTTTATGTCTGAATTCTCTATATAAATTAGCGGGAAGAATTTCACTGCCTAACTAAAAGAAGGAAAGGGAGGAAGGACTGCCTCTCCCCTCACTAGTGCCTGCATATCACTCTTCATATTCCCTTTCAATTGCATTTATGGAATTAGTACAAGAATAAAACAGCAGGTATTGATGAGCCAACAATAAGATTTGCAATTTTAAGAGGTAAGGTAATGCTAATGTCTCTCTTTTTCTGTCCTCTTACTGTTACGTTTGTCCAAAAATCCAGAATAAAGACACAAGAAGTTAGAAATCTCTGACAAATGCTGTGCACATGTGAATTTTATTAATGATGTATTTATAGAGAAAGCAAGTACAAATTGTAACCTAGATACAAATCTAATAGCACTCAAAGATTCCCATTCTCTTGATTCGTGGCTAACACCCACTAAGAAACACAGCAAACAATGAGCACCCTCGTGAATCAGGTATCTTGTAGTTCAATCTTTCTTCTGATCCTCTGCAGCAGCCAGGGGAACAGGATCACAGTCCAAATTGAGGCTAACCTCTTCTGGCCTCAGAATTTCAAGATACACACCCTGAAGCCAGAGTTTCTCTTCAAACCTATTAAAAAAGGGTAAATTAACATCACCACCATTTTAATTGGTGGCAGCTGTAGCATTCCCTTTCATAAGCAGCACTGTGGTGGTTGACATAGGTTGTTATCTATATCCTTGAGGTGCCAAGAGATTAAAGATCAAACACAGAGCGATTCCAGGCAGGACATAAATTAGCCTAAAATTTGTCTTACTGACAATAATAACCAGCAGCTACTTTAGGTACAAAGAACAAAAGAGAGGAACAAAAATAAGAGACAATTAAACTTTCTGTACAATGTTTTACTCATATTGATAGCTATATTGTCTATTTACCCTAAGTAAAATTGACATGATTGTGCATTTGATTTTTTTGCTTTGGAAAAATTAGCATCTCCCAATGATACAGTAAGCACAGAACAAAACAAGAGGGTAAGTGCAAAGGAAGCCTCCGATGAAATGACAACAGCTTTTGAATTAACATATGCAATAATTTTCCTCTCCTTTTATATGTTGTGCTACATCTAGACAGACAATTGTACCTGAGAAAAGAAGAAAAAAAAAAAAACACTCTTGCTCTTTCTTTCATGTCTTTTTGCCATAGAATCCACTATATATGAAAAGCTCAGAAAACATTCAGGAACTTTTCAGATAATAAATAAATTTTTATGTGAATAGTGTAAACTCAACATCTTAAGCCATGAAAGACCAGCAATCCCACAGATTTGCAGCTACTTTCCCAGGTCACATTAACCATTACTTCTTAAAAGCCGTGAGACTCATGGAGCCTCTTTCCCACTACATTTCTCCAAATACCTTCCATAAAGAAAGCTATTTTACTGTGTCATTATGAAACCAGATTTTCACTGTAAAAGTCTCACTAGTGTGACAAATATGTAACAAACATTATCAGTAGCATTGTTCACTTTTTTCTGTTGAAAACCTTTAATAGTAAGTCTGATTTCTATGTATACAATCTCTTCTCCACCCCAACCTGCAAAGCAAAATTTGCCTACGTAGAATCCTTTTATTTTATTTTCTGACACAAACAGTCCATACTTTATATTTTATATTAAGGCAAACATTTTCATTTCCGGAAGGGGCACATCCTCCTTGGCTACTGTTATGCCTCACAAGGGCATCAGGTAGCATTGCCTTCTGCAGTGGGTAGAGGCTCTTCATGACTATTTTGGAGATGGAATTTGGTCAGAACTCCCCCAGTACTAACACACAATAATTCCTCATGGAAACTGTCTGATAAATGCAAACACTTCTGTTGAATTATATCAGTACTACTCAAGTAAAGTGTTGATACACCTAAACATTTTTCAGAAGTGTTTAATGAAAATTTCCATATTTAAACATTCACTTGAGTTGGACTAAACGTAAACAAGCAAAAGCAAGAAAGCATTAACGTGGTATTTTCACTACTGGATGGGTATTTTGGTTCTCTCAGCTCTCCTTGTTAAATGTGTTTCCTTAGCAGGAACTACCTACCATTTTTGCTTCACAACTGTAGCCACCAACCAGCCTGCAAATCTGTCCTCCTAAAACTTCCTGCCCAGCCAGTCTGAATCTTTCACTCCAGGCTTATCATCCCTAGCTTACCTCATCTCATCTGATGTTTCCAAGTCAACAGTGAACTGATACTAGAGTGAACCAGATTAGTAACAGTCACAGGATATAAAAGTCTCTTACTCTGAGCACACTACTCAAATAAAAGACAGGCTGTTCTAGCAGCATAAACTAAAGTAGGATATAAGAACCTGAATTTAGAAGGCAAAATTTACCTTCCAAAATTTACTTTACCTTTGTGCAAGAAGTCACCACAAGAACTACTGACTTCATATATCTCAGTAGCTCTCTCAAATTGCACCACAGGGAATTTTGTCATCCTTAATGAATTAAGGAGCAATGACTGTTCCTGTGCTATTAGGATTGCTACTACTTCTTCTTAAATCCTTACCTAATAGAAAATTTTGGTTACATATTCTATTACTGCTTGATACTTCATGCTCTAGTGGCACTTCTTCTTGGTATTCAAATTTAGTCTGCTGTTCCATTATGAAAATTTTCATTTTGTTTATTAAGGATTCAAAATGTTACAAATGTTTGCTGTCTTCTGCATGGCACTGCTGTCAAATAGCTCAAGGAAACCTGACAATTTTACCATGAAGACCTCATTTATTTTACTTGCTGATGTCACATTTTTTTTAATTTAAGTCACCATGAATATGGGATTATTTTGCAGACAAATAATCTTGTAGTGTGCACCTGTCAAAAATGGTCAAAGGCCACGTGTGCAACAGGACAACTTACAGATCCAGTATGTTGTTAAAATGGTGATCTTCCTGGAATAAGAAATCAATGACTATTAGAGTTTTCTGTGCGTTTCTTTTAGCACTTATTAAATGTTAATACTGAATAATACACTGTGTTAATAAAAGAGAATTTGTATATATAATATCAACTGCCCTCCTTAAGCAACCCTGTGCTCCTGCAAAGAAAATTATTCGTGGCTTTTGAGAGATATACAATGGTTTTGTGCAAATGTTAAATAAGGAAGTTGGCTATGGCAGATACCTTTCTCCCTTAAAAAGAAAATGGATTGATCCATGGAAGCAATTTTTAAAGTAACTTGTGATACAGAAAACGGGTGTGCCAACTTTTTGTGCTACTCACTCACAGAATCCTATGACTATTTGAGACAGGCTAACAAATAGTGTATTCCTATGCCATGACAAAAGTTCATCTGCACAGTCATAAGAAAAATACTTAGTTTTATCCATTTTAAATTCTAGAATACTTTGTGCTTTTACACCATTCAGTCTTAGTTTAGTATCTAGATTAGGATATCAAAATTTAAAAAAGGTACTTCACTAAACTAAATACTTTATTCCACATAAATTCTATTTTCTATTGTATTATGACAAGGTCTTTAAACTAATAGAATTTAATACCTTCCGATGAAGTATTAAATAAAAGGCACACATGATGCACTTCATTTACATTATGCAAAAATTCATAGGATTACGATGAATATTTGACATATGCTTCATATATTTAGGTTATTACAGCTATTATAGTACTACTAGATGTAGCACAGATTAAGTCGCAAGTTACCTTACTGGCAGATGTTTAGCCACTGGTCTTTGACCTCTCACATAACACATGTCCTGGGTTTGCGCTAGTTCAGTTGTTGTGACACCCACTTTTTCTGACAGGTATTCCTGTTCCCATTCTGATTTAGTCTGAGTTACAGTGGAAATTTCTGGCTTTTTATTTTTCTCTGAAACAAAACGTGTACATCAGTAAGTGGCAAAAAGTCTCTCATTCAATATAGTAATGTGCTGAAAAGCATGCAGCTGGCCACAGTGAATCACCTATCACTGTTACGAAAGCTGAACAGTATGCCTTCCCAACTTCATTGCTGGCAACACAGATATATTTCCCAGTATCAGCAAGGACTACATTTCTTTTTAAGAGGTAATAGGTGTCTCCTAATTTCTCAGTCTGTAAAAGAATAGAATGCACATAGGAGATTATTACTAGCATAAAGTAAAATGTATAATCTTCCTCCCAAGAAATATTTCAAAAACATTCGTACATACACTGATGCCTCCTCCAGCTGTCACTGGAATATCATCCTTAGTCCAGCAGACCTGTGGTTTAGGCCTACCATATACACTGCAATGCAAGATTAAATCTTCTCCTTCTTGTAGAGTTGTATGTCCAAACTTTTGTATGAAGTATGGCTGTTTTCCTTGTACTGAAAAAAATTATTTGCTGTATTTTAAAGGGCATAACTAAAGGAGCCAAAGCAAAAATGCATTCTCATAACTGCACAACAGAGAGCCTTTACTGATGCCTGGAATTCAGGATTTTTCTGCAAGACCGTAGCAGGCAAACATCTTATATCTATACAACATAAAGTTTCCTGAAACACATGGATATTAACCATCAAAGACTTTCATGCAACAGTATAATAATATTAGTTTCATGGTGATGCTAAAGAATTATGTTCTTTGTGTATGTAGGTAAGTATATGTGAATTACTGTGTTTCAATGAAGAGTAAAAAGAGTAAATATTCCACACAGGAATTTAAAAGGAGAAAGTCAAGACAGCAAACTCTTGCATTTAGTATACTGTTGTTCATAACACTCTTCTTTCACTTTTTAAACTCCGTTCTTCCAGACTGAAGTGCTGCTGAAGCATAAAAACTCTTGTTCTGTTTCTACAGCAATGCTGAAGGTCAGAACAGGACCTATACACTGCTTTGGTCAGGATTACTATTTTGGCCATCATTAATACTGAAGACATGTATTACCAGATCACCCAATACAAATTTGATTCAGATCAAGTGTGGGCACATAATTGCATTTCTATCATATTAATGAGAGCACATGAGATGGAGTTTATCCCGGCTTCATGCCAGCTCTGGGAGGACAGACGATACCTGAGCCAGTACAAAGCCTGGCCAATACAAACTCAACAAAACTGTTTGAAGAAATTTCAGCAGTCAGTGTACTGAATGAGAGCCTTGCTTCTTGACACACTATTTAATGAGCTGTAAAGCTGGATTTACTGGATCACTGTACTGCTACCTTAGATTCCACTTACACTCTACCTTGAGGACCACATTAAAAAACAAAATGACCTCAGAACTCAGATTAAATATTCATAACATAAGGAATCCAAAGCAGCCCAGATGCTAACACACACAAGCACATGCACATACCACAACAAAAATGCACATTTTACTTTTCTATTACACAAAGAATGTTCTGCTGTTCCTCTTTATGATAAATTGTACCATATGTCCATATCATTTAGCAAAGCACTAATCAGCAGGCTTCTCAGAAATGGAAAGTTACTGAAATGTTTAATAAGTAAGAGGGTCTGAATCTGTTCTCAGCTGGGCCAACATCATTCCACTGTTTTAGGAGAAACAATTTTTCATTATGCTATTGTGAAACAAAAATCAGTATATTTCACAGAAGTACCCACTAACATCTGAACATCCAAACATCTGAAGATATATTGAGTCCATGGCTATTTTTGCCAAATATGGGATTCCCAGCATGGTCAGGCAGGTACTTTCACCCTCTGTATTAATAAATCCATTCCTTAGGTGAGCTCTTACTTGCCATAAGCCTTCAATGTACAGTAAAGTCTTAGCTGCTTTTACAGTCTTCCTATGAACTGTAGATCTGAGGCCACAATATAGAGCAGAATTTCACCCTCCCACACTCTTGCTAACCGAAGATCTGTATTAGCCAGTTCCAGTGGTTCAAAAAACTCATTTCTCAACTGTTTAAAGCCATCAGGCACAGTCTGCCAGCACCACTGTATTGTGCGTACCTGAAGCACAGGAATTTGGGATCAGAAGCTTCACTCACTTCAGTAGGAGAACCAAGTTTATACCTCTCTCTGCAGCTTCATTGCAGGCAGATGGCATTAAGTCACAAATGGACCTTCAATATGACCAGTCCTACCAAGGAAGGGAAATTACACATTCCTGAAGAGTAGTCACTGATACACTTAAGCCTGCCCACTAACCCTGGGCATGCAGAATCAAAGGTGACAACAGAGCAGGAAATTTTCTATACCTGCCTTCTGAGTATTTAAAGAAGGAATCTAGGATAAGTTGTCTCTAGAGATTGCTAGGGCTCTATAAAGGAATAACAACAAAAAGTCCCAGATATTATTGATTTCACTGCAGGGGGAGAGGGGCAAAAGGGCAGCAGGAGCTTTCCAGCATCTGGTCAAACAACTCCCTCTTTCTTCCTTCTCTCTACATTTTTCCTAATGTTTTCTACTTATCTTCACTATTTTTCTCCTCTTGTCCTTCCCTGTTTGTTCTATATTCCCTCTTTCCACTTCTGTTTCTTTTAGTTGATACTGTAGCATAGACTATACCTTCATGAAGCCACTTTTTCACCATAAGCAGAACCAAATGAATACATTCCACATAGAGGTATAACTAACATTGAAGTAGCCACGTAACTCCTGAAGAAGTGTTCATTTCCTCTTGGCTTTTCAGTTCAGAAATGGCAATAAATCTGCTCATAAAGAAGGATTTACACAATGCCAGCTGGCACAGACAAGTAAATTTCTGCTGAAAATAAAGCACCTATGCAAAATGTCTTTGCTTTTCTTTTATTGTGCACCAGACAATTAGGTCCATGGTTTGGAGATAAAAACAGAACAAAATTTTGTTAAGAGTTTTTTATGTTAAAGATAAGCTCTACATGAAATGCTAATTGGCCTGATGTGAGCAAAACTGCATCACTGTAAAGGGATTCATCTGCTACATAGAATAAGGGGAGGTATAGCTTGTATTCCATTAGAGAACATTAAGCAGGTATTGGCCACTCCTTTGGTGTTTCAGGCTGAATTCCATAACTTGTGGGGTTCGCATCACCTTGTGAAGTCAGGCTGCAAGTCATGTCAGAATGCTGTTTATCATTAAAAAAAAAAAACAAAAACCAAGATCTCAATGGAACGGTAACAATGATCAGACCACATTTTGATTTTGTATCAGTAAGTTAGCAAGCACAAAAACTAAAATGATCAGTTTCTAGATAGCAAAGAGAAAAGCATGTGCAAACAGGCTCTTAATTTGTAATATTAAATATTATATTAAAATATTTGTATGAAAAAGTCAAATTCTACTGCAAAACGATAAAAAGAGTAGGCATGAAAAGGAAAATAGAGCTCTGGACAAAAACAGCAGAGGGAGAAATCACATGGGTCTGGCTTTATTACACAGCTTTCCTCCCTAGTGTCTCACACACAGGTGACACCCAGTCATGCCAAATTGTTTTCAGTAATTATTTTTTATTACTTGCATCACAGTTATTCTTAATCTATTTACACTGGTCATGTAATTTCAAACCTCTGAATGTCTTGAGACGTGTTATTAGCAATTTTCTCTACTTCCTTCTAACCATATCTTCTCTAAAAATTTAGGTTAGATTGAGATTGTGGTCAGACAACATTCACACCACACTACTCATTAACTTCAGATTCTTCGGGCATTGCTCTAAATTAAGAGACTGCATTTTACTGTTTGGAGATTTTGTTTTACTCAAGCTTCTAGCACACTCTGAAGGAGCTTTATTAAGGAACACCAAGCGGGTCTGATGTTCCCAGTTTATCTGAATTATCCATATGCAGAGCTCCAGGTTCCTTGAATACCACGGTGTAACGTCATCAACAGAAGTCTGAGTGCACAGCTTTATTTTTAAAAAGATATAGGCTTGCTTGAGCTACAAAGGACACATACACACAAACAATATTGCTTTACCTAAGCAAATTCTCCAGAGAAAGGTCTAGAAATAGGCATACCTTACCAATCATTTGAGAGGAAGCCACCTTCTCCATTGCAGCTCCAGCCACATCTGATCCGTAGCCAATCAGGGGAATGCCTTTGCCTCCCTTTACCTACTTACTCACATCCACACCTGGGCCCACAGGCAGGCTGCTTCTTTTGAAGAATGAAAAAAAATTAACTCTTTTCCCCTCCAAACTTTTGCACCTTATGTAAATACCCCTTCATATAATTCAACTTCTTGCAGTCAAGCAATATTGCTCACCACTTCCTTTCTTAAATAAGTGCCTGCATACGGGGAAGGAGGAAAGGAGCTAGATTACTAGCATGCTTAAGGGTACTACTTCTGTAGTAAGGCCAGAGAGACTGATATTTAAAACTGCTTTTTAAGTGAGTGGTCAGTAAGAGATGTAAATATTTTGGGATCTCTAAGTAATTAAAAGGTTTGAACCTGTGACCATGATTAGAGAAGCTCGGAACTGTAAAAAAACAATTCAGCTGCAGAACCGGAACAAAGGAAAACACCCACGATGTATTCTCTGCCTCTGCAGAAAGGAGGAGGTTGAAAGGAGGAAGTGAAGCATGCACAACATGAACTTTAAAAAAAAAGAGGCAGTGAAAAGGAAAAAAACATGACTTTGAAACTGTTGTTGAAGAAGAATGAGTGTGCCTTTCTGTCATAGAAACATTGGTATAGCATAAGAGTACATCACTGCCACTCTTTATTTTAGATAATTTCAATAGAAAACAACAACAATTTTCCAGCAGGAAGGTTTCAGATCTCATTTTGATTCACCATATAAAGTGAAAAAAAAAATCCAGTGATTACACCTTTCTCTACAAAGCCAAGCATTAAAACCCAGGAGTTTTTCAGTGTCCTACTGTATAGCCTGTATCTCTTTCTCCCTCTCTAATCTCTCTCTCTCTCTCTTTTTTTTAAACTTGCTTGTTGCAGCTATTTAAAATATGCCTGGTTTCTACATACCTATTAAAAACTGTACATTTAAAACTACTTGTGATTAAGTTAGATGCAATACCATGCTCAGTGTGAGATAAGTGAAAAGCAAATTTGTAAATCTAAAATTCACGTGAAAGAGTCACGTTCTCAGAGGTCAGATTTAACGAACAAAGGAATTACATATTTCTGCAATCATTTATTAATATCTACAGATGGGTTAAGGGTATTTCTAGCCTTATATTTATATTTTTTTCACTTAATAATTACACCTGACTATGCAAAAATGCCAATATTTTCAGAAGTGACAAGATGTTGATCTTTTATTTCAAAGTGTCTGTTATATAGCAATATCATGAATGCAATGCTTGTGCATGCTCTTAAAAACAATAGCATACTTCACTTTTCAAAGTTGGATTCATCTGTATTTCACTTTCTTTTAAATGCATCAAACCTAAAAGACCTTATTTTACATTCAAATAGGAGCTTAATTCCAGGATTCCAGGCACCTTTCTTTCACTGATAACATGTCTGAGTAAAAAGGTTTTGGCAAGGGAGCAGATCACAGACCACTTCAGCGACCTTTAAAATGTAATTGCCAAATTGACACTCGCTTCCCTTAGAAACACAGCTGCCTTCCCTGGGTGAAAGGTAATCTCTTGGGATCTTTGACATAAACCTTAGACCCCCCCTTAGATCTATACAACGTTGTTCAGGTTGTGCAAAGAATGCTGCAGTAATCTGCACTTCCCCAGGGGGATAGTTTTGTTTTGTCCAGGCACAGGTGGAGACGAGATCACTGTCAACATCTTTTTTTCTGTGAGGATCTGTTGAAATCTAAGCTACCTAATTTGTCAGTTAGAGCAGACATTTAGGGTTCATATTGGCAAATGGGTGTTAATTTCACCAAATGTGGCTTTTCCCTACCATTTCTCCTCAGTAGCTTTGTGGGCAGAGGGCCGCTTTCCTTTAGTGACTTTCCAGATAGAAATGGCTTTAAAACATCTTCCCCCAACACACACAATCCAGCACTGGTCCTGTTTCAGCACTACAGTGCAGCAATGAACAGCTACAGGGGCAACATGTCAATACAGCTTCCTCATCTGGAAAGTCTTCCTAGAAGCCTATCATCCTAAATCAGGTCTCGACTAGCAGTACCTTGAAAAGGTCCATTAAAAAAAAACTGCCTTTATATGACGTTTAAAACCTGAACTACCAACAGTACTTTTAAAATATGATGAAAAAAGAGAAAATTAAATAAGGAAAACAAAAACTTCATTAACAAGGCTTATTTCATGCACTATTTAAACTATATTTCAGAAAAAAAAATCAGCATAGTACTGATTTTAAATGAATCTTTCTGCAAAGGGGCCAAAATGTGAGTAGACCGCGTTAGAAATAAGAGGCATGATACTTACTCAGAGCTTTACTGTAAAAGGCAGAGTATGCCTGTTCATAGGTAGACATAAGTTTGTAAGTGTTTGAATAAAATTTTCTCTCTCCGAGGCATCTCTAACTCTTTCCTCTCAGACAAAAGATGGTGGTCTTCCTTGTTCTGCTTGGAATTGGGAGTGTAAGCCAATAATAGGCTGTATCCATTAATAGGCTACATCAACAACGGGCTTCTAAATAGCTTTAATGAAAAGACTGAATAAATCCTGCTTGGGCTCCAAGCAACATCTCTTACCCAGGCACAACTCTACAAACTGACCTTCGATTCTGGCTGTCAAACCTCAGGTGAGCCAAGTAACTCGGATCTCTCCCATGTGCTCTAAAGCCTGTTAAGGCAAAAGACTGGGAATAGCAATCTTAAGTAAAGTTAACTACAGGAACAGAGGCAGCTTTAATGGAAACGTTTATCAGGAAGAAGGTCTGAAAAGCTGCTCCACTGTCACATCACTAAGACCATGGAAGATGCACATCAGGAAGTGTTAGAAGGCAGAGAAATGCATTTGATTCTGTGATATGTATATGCTTCTGCAGTGATTCTTCCTGCTTACTGCCTCTTTAATTTATAGAGCTGATTAACATAAACAGTATTCTCTCCATAAGTGTGAGCAAGCAATCAGATCCAAGCAGAAGTCTAGATCCAAGCTACCTCCAATTCCTGCTCTAGAAAAAGCAGAAAACAAATAAAATGAACATCTATGAAAACTTTTGATTTTTGAATGACTGGCTTTTGGCAGAGTTGCAGCTCTCAATAAAAACAGAAGAATGAAGAGCAGCTGTCACCTAGAAGACTCAGCAGGTCTGCTAACACCTATACAGAAAATCGGTGGTACTAAAACAGCCTGAATTTCCAGTCTTGTCAGGAAGAATAGTGGAGGTCAAATCACCATGATGACAGCGGTCTGGTTTTCTTTAGTTTGACTCTCAGTATTATGTATGCATATCTCAGTATTATATTATGTATTCCATTATCCACCAATAATGAAACTGATATAAACCGCAAAACTAATTGGCATTGAATTAGACTACTGTTTTACATACTGACTGGAAATCTACTCGCTGCCTGCTGGCTGTCAGCATTCTGTGTATTAGGAGCAGGATCAGGCTATCAAGCACTGGCAGCTCTGCAGCAAGCAAAATCTTATACCATGTAGGAAAGGTATTTTGGTTTGTTCTTATCACAATATTGCTTATGCAAGCCAGCTTACTCGCATAGTTTCTCTGCTGCCTGTTTATAGCAACTACCAAAGGCAGGTAAAGTCACAAAGAAACAAAAACACTAAACTGAATTTTACATTTATGAAAATTGAAATATTCAAAATGGTAATTATTACAATTAGCTTTATTGTGAAATGGAAGGTTCAGTTTTGGAAAAGAAGTCATTTATATACCTGGGCAAATTTTTTTTAAAGGATCAACATTCTCCAGGAGATGACTGCAATTGGAGAGTTGTGCGTTAAGGGTTATTACCCTTATCTAGAATATCAATTCTAGATAGAGTTTATTTTGTCCTCCATCTGCTCATCACCTCCTCCTCCCTCTCTTATTGCTATGAGGTTATGTTGCCTTGAGGGCATCTCCTGTTGCAGAGTTACAGGAATTTTAATAAAGTCACAGTCACTGGGCCAAAACATCCAAGTGTCAGCCTCAAGTCTCACTGACCTCCCGCAATTTGCAATATATATTCTGTCACAGCATGCTGTGCAGTAAAAGGCTTATCTCCCCTCTGCAAATTTTGCAAGATATAGTAAATATTATCCGTGTGCAAGTTTTCCCCACAGAGTCATAATATTAATGCTGCAAAACAAATATGCAAGAAAAATTATGCATTTTTTTGTCAATTGTTTTTACTGCACAAATACAGTAAGCACTGGAGCTAAAGAAGAAATTAAAAGTTACATTTAAGGGTTTATAAGTGAAGTCTTCTACTGACGCAGTTATTTTGCTTTTACCAAGTATTTAAATGAATTATTATTTTTTAAAATAATAAATAGTATTTAGGGTTGTCCTCGTCAAGAATGAAATGCAATACATAAGTGAACAAATTCCTGGTTTGGATGTTACTGCATTGAATTTACAGAATAATTCTATTTGACTGGACTTAAGCAATTTTTTTTTTGTTTTAGGTGCACATTACTCTTATTTCCCCAATTCAGTTGATTCTTTGTGAAATCAGTGTGTTTAAAATTTGAAATGTGCATAAATGCTCACTTCATAAGCTATTACCTTTCTTGTCTCATATTAACAATATAGTGAATTATTTGAAATATTAGTATTTTTTTATTTTATAAGAAGGCAGACAAAGTATCACAAGCATTATGACCAACATAAGCAGCAGGAAGATAGGTATGTTGAAGAGTCTTATTTTGTAAACATTTGGGGGTTTTAATCTACTGTATGCTAAGTGCCACTTATACAAATCCTGACAATTCTGGCTCAAATCCTTCTAGTGCAGACAGTCACATCTCTATTACAAGTATTGCAACTTTCATCTATTGAGACTATCTGCTTTTTTCTAGGCTGAGACTGAGATGTAGATCTGACCTATGCCAGTGCAATCAGGAATATTATGATTGTCTAAGAAGCCTTATCGCACAAAGAAAAGTATTTTAAAAGTATATGAGAAAAATGTTGTTGGAAACAACATATTTGATGTTTCAAAAAAGCCAATCCCCTCAAAACCAAAATAATACCATAATATATACAGTAATCTGAAATATACAATGATCTGAGCACTGTACCTGTGTATTTTGACATGTGATACTTATAAACATTAAAACTGTTTTCAATGCTTGGTAATGCCAAAATTTTTAGAATACAAAACTCTGCCTCACATCCCAGAAAATATTTTAACTTTTTATCTAAACATCACTATGACAAGGGAAAATAAGCAATACTGGTATTAAGAAACAAGCAATACATCAAGTGTGACATAAAAGCAGTTTGGTACAGTTTGTGAAAGATGCAATAAGAAGATCAATTCCATGTTGTCTCAGCATGTGTGAATTAAGTCCAGTGCAGTCAATACTGTACTTACTACGTGAACAGCCAGTACATTAGTGATATGCTAACATAGATGACACACAGCATTAGGCAGTCTGTTCTTGTGATAGGTGGCCTGTTACCTTTCACATGGAGAATGGCACTTGATGAGATAGTGCCATTAGAATTTTTAGCCCGAACAACATAGAGGCCAGCATCTTTATCACACACCTTCTGAATGAACAATGAATGCTTTGTCTCCTTTTGTAAAAGCTTTAAGTGCTCATCTGCAGTCAGTTTCTGGCCCTTCTTGTACCTGAAGCAGAGAGTCAGTTTTCAAGTCAGATTTATATCACTGTATAAGCAGAACTTTCTGAATTCAGACAACCTTTATAACACTAACTTCACAGCAAGAGATGGAGCTAGCTGCATTGCCCTCACCCCTCATTTTTAAACAGTTATGTATAAATATGGATGCATATTTAAATGCCTGAAATTGCTGGTTAATATATTCTTAATACTAGAAAATGTGGGTCCCATGGAAAATGGTCCTGCATGGGCAAGTCACATGGTTACATCACTACCGTACCGGAAAGAGTAGCATAAAGGACTGGACCCTCAGTTTTATGTTGAAACAACATAATAAGGTGTTGAATTAATCCATATTCAACCCAGGGGAATAGGGTCTTAAGATGAACAAGCAACATATAAACTTTCTGAACCTGTGTCTGTAGATACAAAAAACAGTCCAGAACTTTTTCCACCACCCCACCGCCCTCACATTTACTTAGTATAGATCATCAAAAAGCATACAACAATGTAAGAGGAGTTATTTGAAGGAACTGGTGTCATATTCTTAACACTTGAAGACTTTTCAGCCTGTATTATCTGGTATTTACTCCTGATTTACCCATTGGAAGTGAGAGAAAACTCTGGCTGCGGTTGGCTGATGGTGTTTCAGCATAGGCCATATTTAACCAAAGGCAAAAGTGTTTTTCCACATACATATCTGATAAAATGTCTACCTCTATATAGAATATATAGCACTGGTGTTATGATACTAAGCATTTAATTATAAAAGTATCATTTCTATTTTTATAAACATCTAATTTGCAAAATGCCTTCAGTTGCGTGTTGTTGTTTAAAAGACCATATATCAACAATGTATACATTTCTGGGCTAAATTAAGGCTTCCTAGTGATAAAATAAAATTGCAGGTACTTCTCCAGCAATAATTCTCCAGGTACAGAATACTAGGCCTGAAAACTAAATTATTTTATTGATATAAGCAGAGTATACTGCTAAGGTTGCAGTGTGCAATGTTTTTCTCAGTGTCATGTAAGAAAATTCAGCTTACTAAAATCTTACAAATAGTTTGCTTAATTAATATGTTTTAATTTGTCTCCTGCACAGTCCAACTGCTTCACTTGTGTAGTATTGTAAACATTTTGATGTTAACCTTATTAGGAGACATATCTAAATTTAATATGTTGAAAAGAAAGGTCTCTGTTCGGACAGACGAGAACAAGGCAAGTGAAGTAAAATTTTATCACAATTTGCCAGCACATAGAGGACTAATGCTGAAATCCTGCCCCTATTTCAGTCTCTCTCTTTGGCAGGGGATTTCTGAAAAGTCATCTTAAAATGTATTTATATTATAGCATCTCTATTTCTAACAAATACAGTATAAAGCAATCTAACTGGACATACAGCAATTCAAAGAAAGAGCAAGTGAATATTTAATACAGAACTAGCACATTAGTGCTGACATTTACGCTTTTTCTACATGTAACACCTCTCCAGTTTTTGAAAACTCTCTCTTACATGCGTGCATGCATGTGTATGTATGTATGCAGTGGCTATAAATATGTATTTGTGTGTGCGTGTTTATATATATATAAATATATAATGGCAAGTTGCTGAGACAACGCAGAGGAGTTCACTTACAGTAAATCTGGAGTGGGCATTTTTTCACAAATTACTAAAAATGTGGAATGTCAGAGTGAGAAAGAACATAAAAGGTACATGCTGTATTTGTTTAAAAAGTGTTTGATATGCTTACAGTGGTTCAATTCTTTCCTTATTCATGAAATTAAGTGCAGAGAGATTAGTTTAAGTAGGTTAATTGTCAAAAAATTTTGAAAGTGGGAGCCATGCAGAAGTGTGGAGTGAAAAGGACGCAAGCCATTTATTCCCATGTACAGATTAATGAATACAGCTATAAGTGGTTCAATTTGTCTTACTAGTAGGTATATTTAGTTCTTCTCATTACAAGCTACCCACCATGTCAGTTTAGGCTCTGGGAATCCTGTTACTTCTACTTCCAAAGTTACCGGAGAACCTTCCATGACGGTTATGTTAGATAGAAGCTGGGAGAAGTTAGGCGCCTGTCCAGAAAGGCTGGCCATGCTGTTCTTTTCTGATGCACTTTTAATCTCTTCTCGGGTGACCATCTGCCTCTGACAGCTTCTGGTGGCGTCTGATTGAAACACGAAACCTGAGAATGCATCAGGCAAAGCATGCAGCCTATCCTGGGTTTTAGTAAAGTTATTCAAGTCATGCAATTGTTCTTGTGTTTCTACCATGCATTTATCAAGTTCAAGGTGTTGCAAATGTGTTTTGCACACTTCACTCATCATGCTATACGCTGGTTTGGCATTTACTGTGCAGGAAGCAGTGCTAGCTTCAGGTATTTCTTGTAAATTGTGAGTCAGAGGAGATTCCACTCTGTCTTTCAGACAGGAATCTATTGAAAAGATATGAAACTTCTCAGACTGATCTGATGGGCTTTCCATGCTATCATTTGTAGCATGAGCATAAGCAAAATCTGTTAAGAGATCAGATGCTCCAGCCCCTTTTTTACCACTAATATCTTTCTGCATTTGCAAGCTTTAGGAGCTGACATGCAGATTATGAGTACTACAGCAGCACTGCTCTTCTAGCTCTGTTTCAGAATGCAAGAGGTTGGATTCTGGTGTCTCAGAAAGCGGTGGCAAAGAGATATCATCAGGTGATATACATTCATATTCATCTCCAGAGGGTATTTCTTCTGCCAGGAACTCAGTCTGTAAACTATCCTCTTTGGCTGAAGATGACAGGTCTGTATCCTGTGAAACAAAATCCTCACCAGCTGGGTAGATAACTGGAATATCAGCCAATTTATTCCTTTCCTTAAATTAGGAGGGGAAGGAAGAGAAGTGAAAGAGGAAGAAAAAGAAAAACAAAAAGAATAAGTTATCATTGTCGGGATCCACCATTCATGCAAAAGCTAGCAACAATATTAGAAATAATTCTGGTAGTTAAGCTAAATTAATCAGTTCTGAGAAACAGGAGGAAATATGTAGAAAACAATAATCATCAGTACCAGTAGGTAACTGGAATGCTGAATATCTTGGATAGACTGACAGAAATTATAGTACAAGCACTTAGATACTGGCTATTATAACAGTAATAATAAAATGTAAAGTACCCCTTTTGCTAAACAAATGGCAACCTGTGGATTTCCTCTAGGTGCTGTTTATGAGAATATTTGTAATTGAGGGGAGAGGGGAAGGTGGTGGCATAATTATACCTAAACAGGAAAGAGACACATAGCAACATAAAACTATATTAACAGTCAAACTATTGCCCTTCGAATCTTTGAGAAAGAGGGTCACTAGCCATATTCAAGATTTATAGAGTTAAACCAACACCTTTAGGATACTTTCCAACCATTTTATATTTTTTTTGTTTGTCAGTTGTTTCAAGATCTTGTCTGAGCAAGATCTCGTCTGTTAAAATTATTTTTATTACCTTCAATCCAGAAAAAAACCTCACTCATCATATTTCAGAACAAGTGGATGTGGCATGTGTGTGCATTAATTTCAACGGCAAAGCAAAGACCTTATCTGATTTAGTAATTACTTCTGTGCCTCTTGGCTTTTGTATACTCACATATTCGAGCCTATTTCATTTGTGCTAGCACTCTTAACAAAGGTGTTCAAAATGTTTTCTTATGGAATTTTATTGCTGTTAAGTTCTATAAAAAATATTTCATCTAGTAAGCAATGTTTCTATCACCTATATTTGTTCACCCAAATCAACCAGGTGATCTTCAGGATATCATTGCTCTCAAAACCACATCGCTTTGGCAAAATCCAGCACAAAAGTACATTGGAACATTCATCAGGCCTTTCTTTTTGCTTCATTGCTCTAAATGTAACTTAACTCACACACAAAAATAACAAAATAAAAATAAAAAGAAGTAATAGAACCCCAAATTGCCCTGGTCCTGTAGAGATGTTAGTTTAAATATAGAAGTAGATGCATACCTTTGTTTTTCCAGCTTAATACTTGTGTTATTTCAAAGTCACGTGGTACATGCCAGACCCACGGATAAACAAGTAGAAGAAAGCTGGAATTTTACTGCACCTACTTTGTCTACATCATTTAATTCAATAGTCAGATGAGGTTCCAGTTTGGGTATTAAACTTTTTTCTACAAATATCCCCCGATGAATTCAGATCCGCAAAATGTCTCTCAATATGAATATATTATGGGTATAAACATGGTAAGTAATAATCGACTTTCCAATTTGGTGAAATGTGTCAGTTTTCTCCTTTTCCAGTTACTCAAAGAAACCAAGATATCTACTGAGAGTTACTTCTTCTTTACTGTATGTATTCAATTTTTTTATTAGGGTGCTGACTGTCAGCTATTCCTAGGGAATTTTTATTTTTAGGGATTAATTCCAGTGTGTTCATACAATAAATTTGTCCATGCATTTACAAATTTGACTATCATCCAGCTCTTTTAATCTTACCAGCAATTGCTGTAACTCTCCTAGCTTTAAGCCCGACCCGATTTGCAAGTCTCCAGTACTTTAATAGACTTTAATAGACACTTCTACAAAAAAATTCACCCTGTTTCAGTCTGACTTGCACTAACAAATTTAACAGATCAAATCTGCTTAAATATTAAGAAGTTGAGAATATTAACTTCTAAGTAGGTATACTTAAAAATCATAGGGCATAGGTGTCTATATTGGTTCAGATTCATTCTGCCCGCTAATGAGTCTGTTCACATGTACGCACACTGACGTACATTTGGGGGTCTATGGGAAGGCCACAACAATGAAGGGAATCTTCCACTAACTAATCTAGGATCCTAATGCAGGGCTGTGCTGCCAGTTTCATAGTCACCACATCTGGAGGTCAGGAAGTAGAACAGAATTATTCCAGAGATTGCTGGAAAATGACTCTAGGGAAAAAAGAATGCCAAGTGACAGTGGGCAAGCTGTTAGACAAGCTTGGCCTCCAGGAGGACTTTCAGCCCTGGTATGCCACCTGGGATTAAGGAAGCATGAGGATGAATGTACCATGAGAAGGTCTAGGCTGTTTTTTTAGAGCGTGATATTTATTATTGAAGCAAATTAATACAACAAAACTAGCTTGCAACTTCTGAGAAGTGCAGACAAAACTGGATGTTGCTAGCCCACTGAATGAGGGGCTGGGCCAGACCTTTCCTCAAAAGGGATGGAAATATAAGACAGAAAAACACTAGTGAGAAGAACCTGCTACTTCTGTAAGTGAAGTATGGAGTGATGAAAAGGGTGGAGGTATCATAGTTGCCATAGCTCATATCTGAGGTTTCGCATTCCCTTGACTTCTCCCCCTGGCAGCTCAGGCACAGTCTGGCAAGGACTGACAAGGCTGCACCTTAGCAAAATATGAAATATGGCTATGGTCATATGAGTGAGGCACCTGAAGATGGCTTTTTGGAACAGTCACAAAATTTTGAGGGAAATCTGGGCTCCAACTCAGTGGTGAAATCCCCAGACTTGGAATGGAGATAAAGTTAATTCAGTTCAATTATGGCGCATCATGGAGAGGAAGACATTCTGTGTTTAAATGAAGGGGATGTTAATGTTAGCTGAATTACTACAAAACTGCACAGTTTAATGTCTTGTAGTGTTGGTCTGCATTATCAGGTTGCAAAATACAAACTTTAAAGGTATAAACAATTATCAACTTATTCCTCCTCTGTAAAGATTTAAATGTATTACCATCCAACCTAACTTACCAGAAGATTTCACATAGTACACTATTTACATTTAATTAAATAAATCACGACCCCAAGGTTTTAAAATATTTTGTAAGCCAAAATAATCTTATACACTTTTAAGCTTTTTTCCAGCATTGCTTGCATTTCTAAGACTACATTTATTCACTGACAATTTGAAAACTTTCATACTTAATTACCATATATCCGTGAATAAATATGTATGACTGTTAGGGTTTTCATCTTTCTAAATGCATACACAATCTTTCACTATCTTGTTTCCTTTTGTGCACTGTCATCAAAATATAATCCATACTTCAGAACTTATTTATGATTTCTGCTGCATGGGATTTGGGCAATTAAAAGGTAACTAAAGTGTTTTGAAATAAGGATGAAAAAGATTATTCTACATTGTTTTACTTATTATTTGATGTTATTTATTTGATGTACAGTATCATACCAATTGCAGTGCAGCTTATACGTGACATGATGTTATACAGAATTACCGACAGCTGTAGTTATGTTACATCTTGTTTTTGTATGACTGCTTTCCTGTTGTTCACCTATTGCAAAAGTGAAGCAATTCTGATTATTTGTTGGTTTTCCGCTAGATATGTAATAGTGTAAATGAGAAAAGAATCTGAGCCCATCAATTTGTATAGAACAGTATCAGTCATTCCTGAGTAGTAGTGAATTAAGTGGTAAAATTTTTTTGAGTACACAAGAATATCTATCATCAAGTTGATTTACAAAAAATTAATATCAAAATGAACAGCAGGTACCTGTTTAGGGTTGGTAGAAGGAGGAAGAGTATAGTTTCTCTTCTCAGTAATGCTTTCTGAATTCGAGTGCAATATATCTGATCCCACCTGAAAGAAAAATGTTAAAAAAAACTTTTTTTTCTGCTCAAGACCTTAATAATTCAACAGAGAAAAAAATATAATTCCTACCATTACTTTGTTCAATTCTGAGCTCCGAGGGAAGTATTTATAATTCTAATATATTTATAACTTGTCTCTTAGGGAAATATGAATATTAGTGTTCTGGAAATACGAACAGTAGTCCCCTTTATTACTTTCCATATCCTGTAAGTCTGATTAGAAAGGAGAGAGCAGAGTCTGTTCTCCCTTGAGAGAAGGAGGAATGGTTGCACTGTGGATGGTTGCATTAGAATACTGTGGTAATAGGACCAAAGGAACACTGAAAAAAGAGCCTGAAGCAAAGGAAAGGTAGTGCCACATAACACAACATATATGTAAGGAAGAGAAACGGGACCAGGAACAACAATTTGGTGAATAAAATGGAAAACTAGTTTCACAGGTGATCAATCTTATCATCTGATCACAGCTTATTCCATGGAAAGGTGAGTAAAAGGAAGGCTGAAAAAAATAAAAGCAGTAAGGAAGAGTATGAGGTTTGATTGAGAGGTAAAGACTTAAAAAAAAAAAAAAAAAAAAAAGAAGAAGAAGAAAGAGGAACAAAAGGTACGAGTACATCAGTGACACACTTCCTAAGGGAGGTTCTAGACTAGAAAGCAATAAACTCTCCAGCAGTACACCAAGCCTTTTAAGAAGTAGAGTTCTAGTTCAGAAAATCTAACTAACCTTTTGCCTTTGTCCCCCTGCTTTGACTTTAATAACATTCATACATGTATCTTTACCATTTCCTGTTTCTGCTATTTGTACAGTAGCCATCTCTTCAGCAAGCTCACCTTTCTGCAATGTAAAAGGAATATTAAGTAAGCAAGGTAGTAATTGGTGATTACACACTGACGTATTCTGTACAACACAATAGTAAAAAAAAAAAAAAGTGAAATCTAATCTATAATATATCATCAGCACAGGTGTAGATTACTTATGGCAGAAATATTCAGCAAATCTGATTCATTCCAGGATAAGCAAAGACTAAATTTTTTAAAGCTGAAGGGAACTTTTCTGAAATGGGGAAAGTGTAGGACACCAAAGGCTAATGACCTTAATCAATTGGCCAAGAATCTGAGGAACATTAAACAATTTTTACTCAGGGAAAAAAAAGGATTAGGAAAGTCAAACTGCTAGAAAAAAGAGGATAAAGAAAAAAAAAATCCAGCAGAGAGATCTCAGGTCAGCTGTGGACAGGAAAGAATCATTTGGGAATGCCTAAGAGTATTCAAATTTGTCTAGAAGGTGGTGAGGGGAAAAGATTTTCTAAGCATAAAACATAGCCAGGCAAAATATCAATTGGCATTGGTATTTGATTTTTACTCCATCCCTCCACTTCCCATCTGGACAGTCCATATCCACTATGAATAGAGTTAACTTAGCTTTCATCAGCTACTTATCATTCTTTTCGGCTAATACTTATTCCTCGCTTAAACCTCAAAGACTGCACAACTTCTTACAAACAAGTATACACATAACAGAAATCTGGAAAACCATACTGTATTTTATGAATACTTCACAAATCCTTTAAAACTGTCATAACATAAATCTAGATATTTCAAACATCACAGCGGTACAAAGTAAGGAAAAGCAGAAGTTCCATTGTTAGTTTTATGTATTTCACGTCTTCCGCTGTCTGGACTACAGTTACAGTTCTAAATAAGTTCTTATAATAAAGTGTTATCTTACTATTTTCCATTCTAGCATTAAACATGTAAAAATTCTATCCGATTCAATCTTGTTTTTTTCCTCACAAAAAGGAGTCTTTACTGTTCACTTGGATTTTTTTCAAGAGTGGTTTTCTCTGAAATTCTATAGCCAGGTAAAATCAGGAGTGATTGTGCCATGTGTCATGTCCCCTTCATTCTGTTACTCTCTAAAAATGACAGGAACTGAAACTGAATTCATAGTCATGGCAATCCACACTCAGGGTACCAATTTATCTGAATAATTTGCTGAATGAATTATCCATTGAAAGATATAGACATCAACTGGTCAGATACACTAGAAATCTTAAGTAAAATAGTTTTAGCTCTCAAAATACAACATACTGTAAAAATAACATATTTCATTTGGAAAACAGTTAGAAAATAACTCTCTGTTGCAGCGAATTCACTTCTGATACTATTACTTTTGACTGATTAGACTTAGTTTTTTCTTTTAACAATTTTCAAGAATTATCTAAACGAGAAGTTACAATAATCAGTAAATAGTGCACAAATGGTTCTGGTTGAAAAAGAATGTGTTCTCCGTCAACTCTTTGTTAAAGAAAGATACCTCTAGCAAAATTAGTCAAAATAAAATAAAATATTACAAGCATTTTGAAATTTCACTCCTCTTGAAATGGTCCAGCTTTTGTTGAGCTGGCAAAACAGATCAAAGGATGAAGCTCTGTTCTGAGATCCTGGGGCTCCTGTTCTGCAGACAATAGCATTTATATAACATGTGTGGACAGGGAAAGGAGTCTTGAGAAACCTAATTGTCATTTACACTAAAGTTTCTTTATGCTAGCAATGCAAGTTTTCATGAAATCCAAAACAAACTCCTGCTTTTTCTGTACTTCTCTGTGCAGTCCTCACTTCTCATTTCTTGTACCTGCTTTCGCTCTCAATCCTCTTTCATGCCCTGCCAGTTTCCCACTAGCCTGCCTTCTCAAAAATCCCCTGTTACATGATCTGTGCATTTCTACCTTATCCTCCCACATCTCTTTCTGGAGAAGTCCCTTCTGGAAAGAGGAGAAAAAGAAAATATTAAACAGGGCATGCACAAGTTTTAAAAGAGCTTTGTCTAAGCTCAAGGTGATTTTTAAAGCAATATAGTAAATTGTTTCATCTCACAGGTGCTCCTTGCTCCTGAATACATGGAAGGAAGACACTGCTTCCTTCCCTCAGGGCTTCTTTTCTTGTGCATCCCTATGTATCAGTTTTAGGCATCCCTTGACTACAGAGCTGTATGTATCTTTGTAATTCCAAAATAACATTGGGTCCCCTTAAAAGATTCTTCCAGAAGGGACAAAAAAAAAAAAAAAAAAGCCCAAAACAAACGTGGAGCTTGTAAACGAAAATGTGATACCAACACAAGAATCAAAGGGAATCCCCTAATCCAGTATCAAGACTTTAACAATGATCAGTAACAGATACTTTAGGAAAAAATGACAGATAGCTATAAGACAAAGCGATCGATTTTCCGGATTCACGCAACCGGCAGGTTATGAACACTCTAAACTAGAACTTGCATTCAGAAATTGAGATTAACAGTCTTGTCAAGATTTTTTTCCATTCATTTCTCTAATGACTTTTGGAACTCATTTGTACTTTTCGAATCTCTTACTGCTTTTAAATTTATTAAGGGATAATTTCTTGGAGTGTTACTCAGTTTTCATATTATGAGAAATAATGAATAATTCCACCAAAGATAAGTGAAGCAACAGTCAATATCAACAAAAGCAGGATATTTCAATATCTGAATTCTTAACTTCACAAAAGAGTTACCCTATCACCTATGGTCACACATGGGAGATTTTTGGAGCATTACCTTTTTTGGAGTGGATGATGGAGTAAACTGAGTGTTTATTAAGGAAATCTATCTGCCACCTGCTACCTTTTCATAATTCTTCCTTAGCTGATACGTTCTAGTTAATCATGCTTAACTAAGGCTTATCAGAATATGAAGGTAAAATGTTGTTGTTCTCTTAAATATTTATGTTACAATTCAAGCTTTTCTAATTTAAATGACTAATTTTAACACAACTTGTTTCTTGGGATGATTTTTCCTATAAATAAGAAGCCAAGCCACGTTGTTCAGCCTTCTACAGATCAGGCATCTCTCTATATTTCAGTACCAACGGAAGTGGAAAAATGGAAGAGTATTTGTCTAGATACTCAAAGAAAGAAACAGTGACTTTTTCTCCTAAAGGTTACTTGAAAGTTCTAACAGATCTGAAAGAAGTAGAGAAAAAGAAATCTAGGAGGAGTACTTAATGTACTAATAAGTAACATTGCATTGATTCCTTATGATTATTACCTAACGTACTAATAAGTAACATTGCATTGATTCCTTATGATTATTACCTAACGTAACTAAGTCTGGAAAAGTCAACAATCGAGTGTTTCATACTACCATTGATGATCTTATGTTAAAAGTGGATCTGGTCTGGATCAGTAGACCCAGACACTAAAACTGATATTCTGATGCAGTTGCAATATAATCTCCAAGTAAAAGAGAAATACCTGAATCTCCTTAAATTCTCTCAGAGATCTATACAACTCATCAATAGAATTAAGCACTTCGTTGTACTTTGATATGTTTTTTTCAGCGTACTTCTTTCCTTCTTCAATACCTGCAAAGGGGAAGCAGCATAAAAGTAAAACTGAATGCCCCAAATAGACGTTTAACAATCAATGTACTTTGCAGCCTTAAAATACTCTAATAATTATATTTTTCTCTATGTTTCGTTTTGCTGAAGGAGTTTTTTGATACAGAGCAATGTGCTTTTCTACCTATTACAACCTTAAGTTGAGATGGGCCCTCATAGTCTCTGCGGGTCTTCTGCTGGACTTCTCCCTGATCAAAATTATTTCTATCTGGTTAGTGACATTGCTTAAAAAGACAGTAGCCTCCTAAGGTATCCCCTGAATTAGCAGCCTGACTATACACCTAGGAGACACTTAGATCCTGATTATAAGAAAAAAAAAAAAAGTGGGGGGGAGAAGGCTTTTCCCATGCAAAGACTTAACACAAAGCAGTCCCTTCTCCCAGTCCTCCTAATTAGTTGGCGTCAGGAAGCTATTCTCCCAGCTCCTTTTTACAGAGAGGAATGTTTAAAATATTGACAAGAGAGAAAATAAGGGCAATCTGCACTCTCTAAATAGACTTTTTGACACTAAATCAGAGGAACTTAAAAGCACCGTTTGGCTTTGGTGAAATTTCATCAGATTTACTAATTTTCTTTATAGGCTACATGTTATCCTTGCACATTTGGAGAGATATTTTAACTTTGGATAAAGTAACTTCAACAACTACCTAAACATTATGAACAGGAGAGAGAAGCAAACTTTCAAATTTGTTGACCCCCAGTCAACATTTAATATGTTAATATTGTTAGTATATGTGTTAATATAATACTTTAAAAAGTTAACAATCAAATATCACTAGATAATGACAGGTACATTTTTTATGGTAAAAAATTCACTCAGCAGTGAGATATATCCTTGTAATATTCTTTGACTTCAAAGGCTTGCCTGTTATGAGATAGCATAAGCCATGAAGTTTTAAGTCCAAGTTCATAAATTCCAAGTTCATAAATATTACAAGGACATTCACGCTTAGATTTCAAGGCGATCTCAGAGCATATGCAGAATACTTTTCAGTATTTTCATATGTGTATTTTTTAAGTATCTATTCTGAAATACTTCATCTCTCCCAGTCAATACTCTAACACAGCACTTGATTTTTTCATAGGATTTTCTTCTTAAATCAACAATTTGGGAATCTGCTTCTTCCTATCCTAAGCTATTGTGTTTTTTACGCAGTACATTGCCAGACAGCTCCTCACCATATAAGCGTTTAGCAAGGTCTGTAATCTCCTGAATTTTTGCTTCTTGTTGAGGCACTGCAGGCTCAATAAACTTATTGAATTGCTTGTAGAGAGACTCTATTGCTTCTCTTGTTTTACACTCTGAAGAATACTTGCCAACTCTAATGACTGTCGCACTCACATCTTCAAACCAAAATTGACACTGAGGTGCATTCAGAAGGATAAAAACACTTTATTAAAAATTGTATCATTATTAATTCAGCAGTTCAAGCTTTTGTAGAATAGACAGGACTATTCTTTAAACTTTCAATAATCAGTAACATATTGTATGTCTTAAATTTTCCGATAACAATTTAACCTGGAAAACATTTCTTTGTTACCAGTATTGCTTCAAACATTAATAGCTGTTACATTTTCTTTAAACGCTTTAACTCTAGATCCATGCTCATTTTACAAGCACAGTGAGGTTCTTTATTAGTTAATGTTTCTGCAAATACATCTTTTATCCCTGAGTTCTTTCTCGAGTACCATCTGGCTAATTCCCTAGACTTCACATCCTGACCACAGTTATACCTGCATAAAGACAGCAAGGTTGCTTAGATCTAGTCTACTGGGAAACAGGGTTTATTCTCAGCAACCATTAAGGAGAGTCCTTCTACTGACAAGAATGGGCTTTAAAACATACTCTTAATAATCACTTTTGGTTAACAATACACAGGGTAAGATAGAATCTGCTATTCACTTCAGCATTATCTGTATTGCAACTTTATGGCAAGCAACTAATAACAAATTACAAATTTTAATCATCATTAAAATCAGTGTTTAAGACTGGGCCTATCCTCTGAAAGAAAACTGTTGAGTAAGAGGTGCCATTTTACACTTTTAGAGTAAATAACAATTTAAAGTTTATCTATGGAAAATAATTTCTCTTCCTCAAAGAAAAGGAAGGTTTAAAAAAATGTAAATGCACAACTGTTACCAAATTGTTTTGCTAACAATATATGAAATGACACAATTGTCAGATCACTGGACACTGATAACTTATTTTAGACCAAAATTTAGAATTATGATCCATTATCAACGGAATTTACTCATCACATATTTAGATCACTGTGGATTTCTGAACAGAACTATTTCTAAAAATAAACAATGATGACAGGAACATGCTTGACTCACAACAGATGCACCCATACAACATGGCAAGAGAGAAAATACTGTTGCAAACTTACTTTTTTTTTTTTTTTTAAATAAAAGACAATGCATGAGGTTGTCCTTGGCTATATTAAAATAAAGCTAGAGAAGTCTCCAGAATGACTTATACAGACTGCACTTCAGTAAAAATATACATATTTACCAATTAGAAATTAAATAATTTTATATGCTGCTGTTAAGGAACTGAATATTTTACATTTTATTTCTGGATTTACATTCTGGATTTACACACAGACAGCTCTTGCTGGCAACTAGCAAACTGGGTCTTGTGGTGATCTGGCTCTTTGACAACTACCAAAGAAGGCCTTGCAGCACTTTCTCTGATACCCTACAATACATTTACAGAAAATACGCTCAAAAGTATGATCATTAATATATTGAATCACTATGAATGTCATATGAAGATGGAGATCCCATTCTTATGTGTAGAAGAGCAAGAATATTTTAAAGTTGCATCTGTTTTTTCCCTACAAAATTACAAAGAAAAGTTAGAATAAAAAACAGATTTTCACTAAGCTACTACTTTTGGAAGCCACATATTTTGCCTGATAAGCACTTTTATCTATTGCAGTCCTGGCTCCTTATCATAGCCACAGTGGGGATCTCATGTTTACTAGTACCTCTTCCATCATCTGCTGCAGATGCTCCATGAGATCCAGGTTTTGCTTGTAATCCTCCACAACTCTGCCAAAGTCCCTCAGCTGTTTTTGTAACTCACTGACTGACCCTAAGAGGACTTTGACTTTAGCATTAGGTTGGTTTGCCACAGAACCAGTGACTTTCTTCTCTAAATTATCCATCTTCTTTTTGAGAATCTGTTTGAAAGATGCAACAGTGTTAAATACTGCAACAAAAATACTGTTTTTAGAAACAACAAGTAAAAACACATGGGAAAAAATTTACAAACCTATCTTCTTGTCCTGTGCTTTAAAAATGACAAATAAGAATAAGGTGTTATTTCAGAAGGAAAGGAAGCTGGAGAGCCAGTACAATGCTGACTGTAATCAACATAACCGATATTTGTTAAAGGTGGAATTGAGTTAAATGTTCAGATTATAAATAAACAAATATCTGCAGTAATAAGATATGGGATCATATTATTTAAGCCTGAGCAAAACTTTCATTGAATCTGCAAAGGAAAAAAAATTATTACTAAGACTTTGGAGTCTCGCTCCAACTAAATTCAAGCTGATTTAAGTATCACAGTCATTTATGTCCTACAGTATTAACATATGGTTTAAGAATCTGATGCAAGCAATATCACTGACAATCTAGCATAATCGCAAAGACCTAGAGGAACAAATATTCATACTAGTACTTTATGATGGTAGTGTCTGGTATAAAGACGACATGGGGACTTTGCAATAAGATGGTACACATATAAACATTTATATATTTCAGATCCTGGGAACACTGGTCTCATCAGTTGATCAAGACTTCATTGTGTTAGGCATTTTATAAACGATGCAAAAAGACAGGCCCTAACCAAATAATTTGTAAGCTATGTATGACGCTAATTACATGTATGATGAATACATATTGATATGGGAACACAGGAAAACCAGAGACAACACTGAGCAGCATAGCAGTAAAAAGTCTTAGCTCAGTTGCTTTATAACCATTGTTAAAGCTTTTTAAGATGGCGATATTTTCTATAATGGCGGCGAAATAAACTCACAGGGACAGTTAAGAGAGAGGGCTGAAAAACAGCACTTTCTTTATATTGAAGTTTAGCTGATGACATCCTCCAAAAGATATCTGAGAAAACATCCTTGATTTTTGTTTGGAAAGAGGTTGATTTGAAACAGGGAGATGTTCCATGAGCTGTCCACATAAAAGAATGTACACTGGTAGAAAGAGCACTGCCAGCAGGTCTAGGAGGTGCTTATTCCCCTCTGCTCAGCACTGGTGAGGCCACATCTGGAGAGTTGTGTCCAGTTCTGGGCTCCCCATTACAAGACAGACATGGAATTACTGGAGCAAGTCCAGTGAAGGCCCACAGAGATGATTAAGGGGCTGGAGCATCTATCATACAAGCAGAGGCTGAGAGAGCTGGGACTGTTTAGCCTAGAGAAGAGAAGGCTCAGGGGAGATCTTATCAGTGTGCATAGATACCTGATGGGAGGAAGCAAAGAAGACCTAGCCAGACTCTTCTCAGTGGTATCCTGTGAAAGAGCAAGAGGCAATGTGTACAAATTGAAATATAGGAAATTTCATTTAAACCTAAACACAAAACAAAACAACAACTTTTTACTGTGAGTGTGGTCAAACACTGGAACAAGTTTCCCAGAGAGGCTGTGGAGTCTCCATCCTTGGAAATATTCAAAACCTAACCAGACACAGCCCAAAACAACCTGCTGTAGGTTGCTACCAACTTCAATGATTCTGTGATCTAATTTTGCATTTGTGGATGAAATGCCCAGGAAAGAAAAAAGGATTCTAAAAGGAATAATCAATGATAGCAGAGGAAATAGCAAAAATAGAATCACAGAAGCTATCGAAAGTTTCAAGAAAGAGTTGTGGAGGAGGAAGCTGGCAGGGCAAGGGAAATGAAAAAGGTTAGCTGTAACAGGCTACTAGAAGATAAATTGGTTACTAAAATGGTCATTGGAGGGTTTAGGAAGAAGAGTTTCACATGAGTACAAGGAATGAGTGAGGCTAGAAAGGCTCTAAAGGTGGAAATGCGCACAATCACTTCAGACTCTGAATGCAGAAAAAGGCTCTGGGGACTTACGTGATGAAATGAGAAAGACCAGAACGTAACTGGTATGCAAGAGGGAACAAGAGTGCATTTCTTGTTAGTAATTTTGCTGGGGCATTTGTTTTGTTTTGTTTCTTAAGGATAGGGAAGTCACATAGTTGTGAAGGAATAGAAGCAGGAAGAATAGAACGTTAAAGAAAAAAAAAGGATAGTAATGGAGGTGAACGTAGGGAAGTCAGGAAGTAGGATGAGCTCATTGCACTGGAGGAAACGGAAGAATAAAAGGAAGAAAAATCAATGAAAAACGTCTCTGTCAGCAACCAAGAAAAAGGAGATCACAATGACTGACAGGGAGACTCACAATATACCTTGCATCCTGTCTGGTGTGCTTGGCATAGGCCAGAACATTTTAACCAGTGAAGCCTTCATCAAGACTAAGATTTCTAATATTACCTGCATTTTCTCAGCACACATATCAACTTGTTGAATCTGTATTTTAAGTACTTTCAAATTTCGAGCTTTTTCAGTTTTCTTAGTATAGTTAAACTTCAAATTGTTGAGTTTCTTTTTGAGATCCTTAAATGATTCTCTGAGCTGAAATAGAGCAAGCATATTTTTCAGTAAAAAAGAAAGCAGCACACTAATACAGTTTTTCTTAAGAATAATTTAAAAGACTAGAATCTGAACACCAAGAACTTGATATAGAAATATACTGTAGAGCCTATCATAAAGCATCCTTATTGCCTCATGATTTCTTTCCAGTACTGGCAAATCATAATCTTGCTAAATCAACATTAAACAATACTGGTTATAAATATTTGAAAATATATTGGTAGTACAATCTGTTTCTGCTAGATTACAGTTGACTATGGCCAACATGCCTATGGCATGAAGACAGCAGTCACATAAGGATCTTTATTCACTCTGAATGCTGTGTTGCTTCCAGAACAGCTGGTGCAAAAAAGATTGAGACAAAGGATGATTAGATCCTTGCTCAGAGATCCTGTGAAAAACCCCATTTTAGGGTTGCCATTGCTTTTAACTGCAGGTAGAACACCACCTTCAGATACTGTATGTATTCCACTTGGTAGAAGTGACAGCCATGGAAATGGCTACCATGCTTACTTTCCAGAAAAACAGTATAACTAGGCTTGCGCAGGTAGATTTCAATTTATCCAAAGTAGCTTTCTCCTACGTTTAGTTTACATCATTTTTTGGGTAGGGTGGGTGAGTTCAAATAGGAATTTATCATTATATTGGGAACTACTGCTCAAGAGTCATTCAGAGGAGAGAAAAAAAGTTGATATTTGCCAGAATTTATTTTAAGGCTAGATGAGCCCCCTTCCAAACTAAATTACTCTGTGATTCTATAATCATCATGAAAGCTATGGAATGCCCTGCAATAATACTTATGAGGCAGAAATAAGTTGGGGGAAAATAATATTTATTAGCAATAGAATAATATTGGAAGCCCTGGTTCTGAAAGAAAGTTACACTGGGCCTTAATTTTACACAGTTTAGTCCAAACATCTTAGCAGGATTATTCACAGCAAACAAAGATGAATCTAGCTCTTTGCAGGATCAGAATGTAGATTATATGACTATCTGTATTTAAAATAAAGATTGTATGAGCATGGCAGCATAGTAAAGAAGTTCTGCCTAACAGATACCCAAAGAAAACCTCACCTAACTACAGCTATATAGATCGGGTGCCACATGAGAGTACTATTACCAGTCGGTACTGGCTTGGTGCAACAAACAAGATTAGAGAAAATGATTCTTAAATAAATTAAGGTGAACTATCAGCTCTGATTACAAAGAAATCATGCATTTCAAGACTTTGCAGGTGGACCTATACTAGCTGAGACACTTACTGTATAAATTTAGTTACATTAGATTTGCTACAGATTTCTTCTGCTACATAGATGGAACAGTATCTAAACAATGTGATTATATTTTCTTTTAATTTATAACATATTTTTTAAAAAACAGTGATAGGAATAATATTGATGAAGTTCTAGGAAGCTACACTTGAATTAACACACATATGGATTTGATGCATTGCTAGACAATTTGCCAGAATGATTTTAACACACACAAAAAAGACAGGTCATATATGATCAATATAGTTTAAAAACAGTCCTTATTTACCATAACAACTAGTTATAATACATGGTTGTTTTATATATATATATATGTATATATCTATATTTTTTTACTCTAAATTATATTTGCTTTAATCTCATTTTCCAGGTGTGTCCTTAGTCAGCTGTCTCTGTTTTTGCATTAGTCATCTGCTATAAATAAGCATATCAAACACACAGCTAAATTATCTTTAAAGCATTATTAATTTTTATTGAGTATAAAATACTATTTCAATATTTTTTCTCTGAAAGTTATGTAATTTTCAGTTTACTTACAAATGCAAAGATGTCTTTTTATATATTAAAGCTATTTTTAAATGCCTTTATGGAACAGATATGAGAACCATTTCTGTTTATAACGTATACAAAAAAACTACTTAGAAGATGCTTCTGGTATTTTATAAAAGGCACTCCACTGCTTTGGTTATATTTGAATTCCATGAAAAAAAGCTTCAAGTGATTTATAATTTCTAAAATTTGAAATGGAAGACTATAAAAAGGATTGAAAGATTTTTTTGAGAATTTCACATTCTTTAGGTTGACATGTTTTGCTATTTTGAGAGTGCAGAATAAATTATATTACTTTATATTTATCTAAAGGAAGTGATATAAAAGAAATACATCAATCAAAATGCTTTTTGATCTCTTCCTCCAGATACATATAAATGAAAGTAAATTTATCTATTTGGTTAGTGTTAATAAGTTTAGGTCATACCTGCAATTTGATATTCAGCTAACATATTTCATTTGGTTTTTTTTTTTTTTTTTTTTTTTTAAACAGTCATACATCAACATTTTTTCAAAATCTAGGGAGTAATGGATGCTCATTTTGTAACTACTGTTAGTGGAACAGCTAACAATCCATTATTTTTCTTATTAGTAGTAGTATTAGTACATGCTAATGTTTATCCATCAAGGGGATATATTTTTCATTTTCATTTCATTTAGTAGGATGCTACCACATGATTTCAGCAGTGAATAGACAGATGGTATTCACTCAGCATAATGAAAAAGAAGGGAATTCTCTCATCAGCTTTGTGATCTCCAATTAGTTTAAGCTGTTTATCCCACCTAAGTATAGAGAATAATAAAATCTATCTGACAGCACTCTGGAAATATAACCATGTCTGTAGAACAGTGTTTCACAGTCACAGCACAGGAGTCTTATCTGTTAGTTTATTTGAGGAAAACAAGAGATAAGTGAGAGTTTATTTTAGTTTATTTCACTGGCTTAAGCACATACATTCGCTCGTGATCATTAATAAGGCCAGAAGCCCTCCTCAGAGCAGTATGTGAAATTAGATCGCCTTGTTTCAGATATGATGGCTCATGTGTCAAAGGTCTGCAGCTGCTGTCACTCTTCTCTTTTAGCCTCAGTGGAAAATCAGATTCAACTCAAACTTCTACATCAGCCCCTCAGAGTGCGTATACAGAACTCCTGTTAGCACCAGCAATTGTACAAAGGATATGGCTCTTAATCTTTAGAAAATTCTAAACATATCTCAGCTTTTCACCATTTCCTGGAAAATACAATGAGAAATGCTAAAGGAACTATATATCCTAATACTTCAGAGACTTCAGCCCACATGTCTAATGGAAGTTTGTGACTTGTCCATTGTGTCACAGTCATTAATCAGGCAGCTGTTCCTAACTATGGCGAGCCTGTCATGGGTGGAGAATGATGGTGGAGGAGGGGGGAGCTGGATGCCAATTGCTAAGATTTATCACACAAGAAGTAGAAAATAAATGAAAAAAGCAAGATATAAGACTACTTTTGAAAAGTTTGTATTAACACTAAAGTTTCAGTAATATACTTTAACTGCTGTGTGAGACTTCTTTAGGAGGCATTTCAGCGTTGTTAGCCACCCTTTCCTTTTTATTCCCACATAAAACTTCTAGTAGCACTAGTAATCAAAATAGCCCATAAAAGCGGGTCACTAAAAACAGCTGTTCAAAGGCACAAATATTAGTCAGACAGAAAGCAGGAAGCAAGAAAAGGTGTTCATTTTATTAGTTTTCATGACTTTAGTGCTCAAGACCACGTCACAATAAATAATGGTGAGAAATGTGCTGAGAATTATCAGTTCCTACTGACCAATAGCTCAGTACCCTCTATGATTGAAATTCACATTTTCAGTCTTATACACTCCATAAGTGTATAAATAAGGACTTGATGGAGAAGAAAGAAATGACTGGAGAGAGCTGAGGACCTAGTTCAGGGTCTGTTACTAGTTCAGGTCTGTTATTCTTCTATTGCAGGTTATATGCAGACATGCATAAATGTTATTTGTAAAGTCGTTACTGGAGAAAGGATTTTCATTGTGAAGGTTAGCTTGTGTAAACAATTGTACCATTTATAACCTCAAGAACAGGTTTTTATTGTGATAAACTACAGCTACCTGGAGCTTGACTCAGCTCTGTCACAAAGCTGTACTATGCTACAAATGATTGCAGTGCAATGCAGAGCTGTGGCTCTTCAGAGGCCGCTATCCAATCTAGGTAGTGAGGCAGGAAGCCTAAACCGGCAAAAAGGGACCTCAAAGGTCATATGAACTTTCCTTATACTTTACAAAGATTTGGAGGGCATGAGTCCTTTTTTGCCTTTGCAAATTCTCTTTAAATTTGAGAAGATGCACAAAATTTTACTCTTCTGTCCTTCAAGACCATTTCAAAACTCATAATACATATCCTTTGCTATAAACATAAGTATTTGCTTCCTTACTGTTTTTAAAGAAGCACTAATGTGTTACTAACATAGATAGCTAGCCTATGATCAGAGCACGGTATTTTCAGACACCACTATGTCCTAAGCCCCACACCTCTGACTCATTTGCTTTACTTACATTTTTAAAGCCACCACATTAAATGCAAAGGAATTTAAGCAGAATTTCAAATATTTTCACTCAACTTTAAAGCTTGGCTTGTGCACTGGTAAATCACAACTAATGGCTGTTTACCATTTGACAGCTACTAACAGCTGCTGCTTGCTGCTGAAACGTAAAGTGAAATATTTATTTGTTTAGACCTGACAGATGGTAAAGGAATTGTTATTTCAGACAGGTCTGCTTGATGTTAGCAATACTGTCAGACTAATTTCTGATGTTAAAATTAACAAAATTTAAAATACTGAAGTGAATTTACTCATAACTTTAGCATTCTTGAACTATTTTGGTATCTAGTTTCTTGACCCCCTTAATAGAATTAGTTATAAATACTTAATGAAGAAAAACATAGGTGGATTAATGTATATACAGGTATATTAGTATTTGTTTAGGAAGCATCTCTGATACTAACGTCTATTAGAAGTGGAATCTAATTAAAGAAAAAGATACCACAGGGCAATTCAGTATTATTTCAGTTATATTACACTCAATAGTCAATTAGGTCTGAGGATGAGATGACAGCCAAGATGGCTTTCCCAACTTAAAATGGAATAAATACCCGTAATGATACCATAACTGAAAATACACTATTCAATTATTTTGCAGTGGGTTTCCATTAACTATGAGAACCTAATAACACTCACTATATTTTACAAATCAGCTGTGCAGGGCATGTGAGAAATAACAAGTGTCACCGACACCCATTTCATTTAAGTTGAGGAGCCTGAGAGACATAAAAGTTTTTTTTCCTCCTCAAGTTCCTGCTCTTGCTGAGAGTCTAATGAGTAATGAAAATAGACCACAATTCTACTTAGAAAGGCATCACATTCTTCTGCCCTCGTTATATAACTCTGGACTCAAAGGAAAGAGACAAAGACAGCATCTCTGTCACGTTCACATGCAGGTTGCTCAAGAATCATTTTTCTTCAGCAAATTTGAGGGGTTTTCACCAAAAACTTGGAATATTTCAGTTAAAATCCCAAATATTCTGATTCCACAATGACACTGCAAAGCATAAGAGGACTTATTGTCTAGCACTTCACGTGTCCGTTCTCTTCTACAGCATAGCTTCCTCAGCCCGACTCTGTCTCTTGTGACACATGCCATTCCGATCATCTCCCACCGTCGGCTAATTAGTTACATCACAGGAGACTGATGCACAAAAGACCACTGAGAGCAACACATTCAAATTACAACCGACAAGGAACATAGTTCAGGTTCAAAAGAAATTTTTGGTGCAATTTTAAACTACCTTTCTGTGAAAATGGATACTTTTCACAAACAAACAAAAATATTTTGTAAAAGAAAAGAAAATCCAAACACTGATTTTCTCATTAAAAATAGTTGAGACAGAAATCTCAGTGCTCTCTACTTCAACAATTTTGAGAAAATACAATCTTTCTTTATTGAGGTGTGGGTTTACTTAGTGCAAGGTAAAGTCAGAAAATATATTTCAGTACCCTGTGTTTCTTCCCCCTATGCTTCACACTCCTTGGAATCTTAGTGTGAAAGCTTTCTAGGTAAGAATTTGGTTTATGTACTTCATGGATACATAGAAGTGCAGTCTGTACAGAACATCAAGTGTGGGTGCTAGGAAAATTGGCCTCTCACTGTAATGGACCGCTCTGGGAAAGCTCGTTCTAAGAGATGTTTCTCCTAAATTGACTTTGCTGAGACATCTATCCAATGGCTTTACATTTGGCCTGCTAAGTTGTGAGTGAATTTTATTTGGCCTGCTAAGATGTTCTATTAATAATTATATTATGATATTATATTTAGTAAGTATTTTTTTCCCAACCTTACTAAGTTCCTGGTCTCCGTAATGACTTGTGCCAAAGAACATTTCTTTTTCTTCTGTCAAGTTTTTAAAGTATCACATTCTGTGTTTTTGAGAAAACAGTAAGTACTAAATTTCTCTTAACTTCTCATTAAAAGATTCAGAATTCTTTCTAACACAGGAAACAATATTACAATTGCAAGAGATGAATTCTATTTTTGTTTGAAACTTTAGGCTCATAATTAAGAAGTCTGAAGACCTAGGCAGACCTGAGAGACAGAGAAAATTTAGCTGCTCTATTTCCAGCCCTCTTGGTGTAGTGAAAGTATTTTATTGCCAGTCCAATAACTTGATATAAATTTGAAATGCAGAGATGCAGACCATAGATTATTACTACTACTGTGTAAATTAAAGGTTGCTAGTAAGATGAAAATCAACTTTTCTGTATATGTATGAAGCATATATGAGCAAAGGAAAACAGTAACATACATTACAGCACACAATAGCTCTTTTAACAGGCATTTAACATGCTGGTTTTTCTCTACCTGACCTCATTTATCTCCTCTTGAGTGGTGCAGTATTGGAAATTCTGCAACAGTTCTTCCTCATACTTATCTGCTTTGGAGCTCCAGTTAATGCTGTCATACTCAAGTCTAGCAAGCTCCTGCTTTAGATTCTTTACAGAAACATTTAAGCGATTCTAAACAGTGAAGAGACAGAAGAAAAAATATGAAACGCAGGAAATTTACTGATTTAATCAATTTAAAGTCTTTTTGAGGCAGAACATGTATAAGTAGTTGTAATTGGCTAGATTAAAGAATTACACCTCTCCTGTGTATTTCATAAGTAGAATCGGGAATAGTTTTGAGTCAGAGTCACAGCTCACACCATGGTGATACTCCAGGCCAGGAGGAAGTAACCTGCTTTAGGCCTCTGCCACTTGGAGATTAGCTCCTTCCTGAGGCCAAAGACCTTTTGGGGCAGGGAATACCAGGAGTTCTCTGGCCGTGCCTTTTAAAAGGTCATAATGGAATGTCTTGTTTTCTCCCTAGTAAATTAATACAGGGCAATAACAGTCCTGCCTTGTATAAACAATTCCTTTCTAAAATGATGTCCATTTCACTAAGCAAATCAGTCTACAATCCAATTCTAAGGTGACATTCTTGTTATAATTTTTTTGTTCTTTTGTTATCCTTTGTTTATAGGAGAAGACATATGCAAAGCTACCTTTCTAAAGTTAATATGTTAATACTTTTTTTACATCTAAAAGTCAGTCAGATAGCTCCTATAATTTTCTTTCATATTTAACCCTGACTTCACAGATTATTCTAATTCTACTCACAGGTTGCTGCACTGCAGACACAACATTCACTCCCTGGTTAAGAACCAGTCTATATAGATGCCTGATCCATGCATGTTTCTCCTGAGCATTCAAAAGACAGGCTTTCGCATGGTGCACATCTTCAGGGCCCTCACTTATTTCAGGAATATCCAGTTCTCCTGATTTTGACAGATATTCCAGCTGGAATATATTAAAATGAAAATGAGTGTGTGTTTGAAGTACTAATTTACTTACCATCCCTTCCTTACCCATAATGTGTTAACCTAAACTATGTGGAGACAGGTCTAAGTACTAAAATTTTGGTTCAGATCTGGAGTTTGAATTCTCCAAATTTCAGGTAGTTTCACATCCAAAGTTTTAGTCCTGATCACTGGGCGGGTTAATGCTGTTAATTTTGGGGAGAAAGAGAGAGATGACAAATACCAAAAAGAGATTAGCTGCATTAAGAAGAAGGTACATTTTTAAAAGATTAGACTCACTTCTTTTTTAACATGATGGAATTGGACTGTCTTGTTGAAAACATCATCATATTCTGTCATTGTGTCCTTTATCGTTTGATGGAGATGAACAAGCTCACTTATTCTCTCAGAATTCTCTTTGCTAGAAAATCCTTCTTGGCTCAGCAATTCTAATAATTTTACCATGTACTCAAGCTCAGCGTTCAGTTGCTAGCAAAAAAGGAGCATAATTTACTCTTATTTGCAAGATTTCCCTTACATTTGATGAAAAAAAAATGTAACAATGATGAATTGCCTTGGAGAAAAAGAAATGTCACACTCTTTAAATTACTCTCCACATCCTTTACTTTTTCCTAGACATGAATCTCAACTATTACCCAGAAACAGTCTCGAACCAAAATATCAGAGTCAAACTCTGACTCTTAGGGGAATGGGAGACTGAACAGCTCACTAAGAATCAGAAATAGTATTCAGAGGTAGGAAACTCAGCATGACCTACCCCAGGCCTCTGAGCCAGGCCTTCAACTCCAAAACACGAGTGCCGGTGCTCTCCCTCGTATTCCTATTTTTTCCCCCCCAATGCTTGTGTGTTACCTTGTGTGCTTGTGTGACATGCAGCTAACATTGCACAATGCATCCTGTGGACACTGAAGGTAGAATATCTCTCCCTTCCTTTATAACGCACATGAACCTTCCTTTCAGAAAAGTAATGTAAAATGTAATATGCTCTAACCCCGGATGCTCTGTATGAGGTAAGTGTGAATGTGAATCTTTCTAGCACCAAAAAGAGCTTTTGCTCTGTTGTGAGCTTCACTAAGTTTCTCACCTGAAACTGTGGCTTCATTTGGTTAAGCTTTTTTTGTAGTTCCAAAATAATACAAAGGTCACTTCCAAGGTCAACAATTGCTGCAAGTGTAAGTGCCTCTTGAAGAATTTCTAACCCATGGGTAGTCTGAAAGATAAGTGAAACATTTCAGTTTTTCTATCTGAGGTAATAAGAAGTACTTAAATCCAAATCTAAATTTTTAATAAAAACCTCTCCCAAACCAGACACCTACATGCTGTCAGTAAATTTAATTGAGATTATTACTACAAAAATGAAAGATTCTTAAGATGACACTATCTTTCATTTAGCTTTTTTTTTTTTTTTTTTTAATAAAACTGTCTCAGATTCTCTGACTTTAACATGGGTAGTGGGAGATCTTAAAGACAGTGTGCAAAAATGACTCAGACACTGAGATGGGAGGACTCAATCCTACAGTGTATTTTATGTGATAACAGGGATTGTGATCGAGTGATAAATTGCGCTAGACATACATAGTGGCCAAGCACCTCTGGTTCTGCTGCTGGCATAGCTAGCATTGCTTTTAAGGAACCCTGCACGCTGTCCCTGTGCCAAGGAGGTTTAAATTCTCTTTTCTTACGACATGGTTGAACTTTATAGGGGTAGCACAATGAAAATACCCTTTTGTTTAGTAACTATTAAGCCACTATAAAATGGTGTTAAAAATAAACAAAAAACTCCAACCAACCAAACAAAAAAAACAAAAGTGCTGCTGCTATAGTATATCGAGCTGAAAATTTGAAACCAGGACTTGCATGCATTTCAATAAGGACAAAAAAAGATCAAGAAAATTTCATCATGTTTCTAGATAACCATCAAAATGGTAAAACAGACTATGGAGAAGTATTTTACTGATCATCTCATTTTCTTAAATGACATCTGTAACAGTTGATGAAAGAGTCACATACAAACAAATGATCCAGAAATGTTTGCTACAGTTGTTTTCTTCATATCTATTTTACTTACCTTTTTCAGTTGTTCTTTAAATATCCAGCATTGTTGCTTGACAGATTTTACTTGATTAATTTTATAATTCCAAATTACCCAAAGATCAATCAGCTCTTTCTTTTCTTTACTCAGATTAATAATGGTCTCTTCTGTTACTCGTACAGATTTTTCTACCTTTAATATTAAACTCTCATTTACCTGGTAAATAAACAATTAATGAAACACAATTCTTCCACGCATATTTTTATACAAATATAACTACAATGTCCATAATACTTAGAGTAAAGTCACAGCAAAGCTTAATAAAAACTATCAACTTATTCTAATGTAACTTCTTTGAAAATTCCTGGGAGCTTATATACTTTTAAATGTACTGTTCTTTTAGAAACAGGCATAGAGGAACAGAATTAGTATACTGAAATCATGACTAATGTTAATGCTTAAAACCCAGAAGAGGTCAGTAATGACTCTGAATTGTTGCTATCTGATAGCTGTTTGATAGCTCATTTAAAAAAAAAAAAAAAAAAAAAGTAATTTCTGGATGGACAGAACTATCCAAAATGTCCTTTTGGGGAATATCAGCGGAAACTGAAGAGGAAGAAGAAAAAACTGCTCCTCCACACTCAAAAGTAAGGCAGCACTGAAGCACAGAAGTAATAGCATGGTCAGCATTTGAATATTTTTTTGTTTTTCCTCTTTTTATCAGAGCTCAGCTCAGAAACACCATAGAAAACTTGGTAATACTCTTTAAGCCTTTCTCATTTCAGAATTTTTCTGCTAAGGAAAGTTGTGTGGGTAAATTACTAGTATCTGTATCTTCGCCGATATTAAAAGCTGCATCATCCTAAGAATATCATGGGAACATAACAGCAGAAAATATGGTGGCAACATACCTCCAGGTATGGAGAGATTATTCTTTTAGAAGATATGTTTAAACTGCAAGCGACTGAAGCGTAACTACATATTCAGACATGTTCAGCTTAGCTTTGCTCTGATTAGTTTATCTGTGCCTGGGTGTATCCAGCTGTGACAGCAAACACTTTAGCTCACACTGACTGCCAGAGTACTCTCCCTCCTTCTTGAGTAGGTTTTCCAGCTTATCTTGCATGCTTCTGCAGGTTGTCATCCCTGTGCATTCATTACCACTTCTCCCTTCTTACCCTTTCAGCTGATGATTCTTTGCAACTGCTCCCTAATCTTTCCTATGAAAACAGAAATAACAGCTAGGTATTCGAGCTTTCTGCATTAATTGGCATGATTTTAGTAAGCATGGCTTAGGGAATGATTGTGTGTGTGTGTGTATCTGAAATGATCATTTCACAAAGGGGTGTTGGAAAACTAGACAGGGGTACCTAGGCAATGCAGGTGAATCCAAAACAGGATATACAGACACCCAGGAATCTCTGAGGAAGCAGCTCTAGCACATATTTTCTTGAATTTTATACATTCCACTGGTAAAGACTGCCTCTTAATGGAGGTAAAATAAATGAAATACTGCACTTACATATATGCTGCTTTCCAGTGCAAGCGAAATGGATATCTGTATGAGTGTTACATTTGTATGCATGCACCGAGTCATTTTTTTAAGGGCTATCTCATTGTGAATCAAAACAAACATTGTCACAAAACTCATATTATTACTCATAATATCATCAGCACTCAGGTAACATTTTCATATTTTAAAAGCATAGCAGCGTTAGTCCTTTTTAAAGGTGAGTACTAAAGAAACCACAGCCCATCAGCCACAGAACCAGGATGAGACCTTGTCACAGTTAAAAAAAAAAAAAAAAAAAAAAAAAAAAACACACACAAATCTTCAGTGCAGTTTATCAAGATTAAACTGCTTTATACAGAAAGCAATAGCCTGAATATTCTGTACGGCTAGTGAAAATGCACACAAGAGTTTCTGAACAAAAACTCCTAAATTCTTCCTGTTTTTTCACTACTTATATGAGGTTTCCTATATATCCACCAGGACAGAATGCAAGATCAACCCATGAATCTGACAATTTGCTGCAGGATTTCCACATGGAGACCCTATATCTCCATGCAGATTCTGTTCTGTTCTGTGCAGCTGCTATTACAAATGGGCACATCTCCATGACGACAGAGTTGCAGGCTGTGATTTCAGTGGCTCTGGCAAGCAGCAAAACAAATAACATCACTCGTTTTGTAATCTTTGTTACTAAACACCAAAGTATTGGCTTACTCAGTCTTACAACTTGACTTTCTGGTCTCCACCTCCACATCCTTACTCTTTCCATAAGTACCATACCTGCAGAGCACACTCCACAAATGCAAAAGACCAGTGGAGAATGCAATGAGATGCTCATCTTGTGCAGAACAGGTGCAATTTGCACTTCAAAACTTTGGGAGAAATGTTCTACTTCCAAAACCATGCTACATATTTTATACACAGCTGTGTATAAATGGTAGTGCAAAATGTTTGATCACTTTATGATCTTTTCAAGATAAAACTTTCTCCCACCCTCATTTTATAAACATGTTGACATTTCCATATCAAAGTTTGTTACAGTTCTATTCTGTGAAAGTGTGGATACTAAATTTCTCATTCTGGTTAAAAACAAAGATATCAATATTTATATTTGTTGAATTACTCTGAGCTTTAACTGTGATTCCACACAAACATCTCAAACATATTGTCCTCTTCCCATCTCCTCCTCTGCTTACATGCACACTGAAACACAGTAGAATACGCTTTGCCTTAGGCAGGTCCTCTGATGAAAGCTAACTTGACCCATACACTTAATCTGTCATTATTTGTTTAAGTATGTATTTGAAGGGTTTTTTTGCAAATCTAACAATGATTTTTGTTGAAGACAGTAACGCCATGAACCAATCTCACCATGTTTACTAAATTAAGAAAATTGTGACCCATCTCTTGGGTGGAAAAAATTTTCTTCATAGCCTTTTGCCACTGAGTATTAGCTGACTCAATTGCAGTTTTATTTTCAGCCTCTCTGTTTGCTTGTAGAGGTTCAGATTTATAAAGCTTCTTCAATTTTTGAATATGGTCATTCACCTGTGGAAAGACATAAAATACACATCAAAACAAATCAGAAGTTGAGTTGCTGTAATCAGAAGGTATATGGAAATGGTAAAATTGAGTAATAGCTTCTGAATATTTTCCAGGCCTTAAAATATATCTTTCTCTCTAAAATTTATACTAAAATGAGCTAATAAAAAACATGTTAAATAGACTGTAAACCTGCAGATGGCAGCAATTTGTTCAATTTCTGTCCTGTATCATTACACGAATATTATATACCAGTATACCAATGCAATGACTTCCACTTATCTGTTTAATATGAAGTAACTAAAATTAGCAATACTCAGAAGTAGATGTGATCCAGGCTTTTGGCAGTTTATACTTGCAGTACTAATTAAACTTTATGGCTAATTTTATCTAAAAGGTTCAATTCCATCTTCAATTTCTTTCTAAATATACAAGAATATCAACAGTGTTACAATATCTTAAAATACATATTATATCAAAATTAAATGCATGGGTTGTCTCAGCTAGGGCTGGTTTATACTTCCTTTTTAAATCCGTTTAGTCAAACTAGCACTTCAGTTGAAATAGTGCAAGACTGTAGATAAATACCCTTATATCAACATACTACATTAACATTATATGAAATATTCAAAAAAGTATATGAAGCAAATTCAGTAAATTTACTGAATCAGAGCACATACGTGTGACCATTTTCAATTATAATACTTCCTACAATGGTGATTTAAATTAGCAGAAAATCTGCACAAACATTAATCATTAGGTTGATGCAAATTCAATGGTCAGGGCTGCCTGATCTGAGGAAACAGATCTCCTTTAAAATAGACAGAAGATTACAAAGACTTGCAGTCCTTCCATGGCACAACAGCTATGAAATTTATCTTAGCTAGATAAAAGCACATATTTTCACTTGTAAGATTTCACAGTTCAGTAACAGAATTAAGTAGGTAATCCATACCTCTGTTGCTGACTTTAAAAAGGCCACATAAGTTTCTAGAATTTCTAGTTTTGAACTAATATTTCTTTCAATTTTTTTCAGTTCTTCATTCAGAAAGTCAGCTTTGCTAGAAAAAGCTGCCACCTGCACGGGTTCAAGTTCTTCCAAATCTTTTATGATTTTCTCAGCTGCTTTCAGTTCATTTGAAGTTTCCTTTGAGGGTACAAGCATAGAACAAAATGTATTATGACTGAAAAGGACTTGTGTATATTGGTAGCTCATTTTCAATTAATTGTATTATGTATATATATGTATAATTCAATTACTTAATTGAAGAGCAGTTCACCATACATGCTATATGCTGAAATTAACCATTTCTTTCTTGTAAAGTTTTGACACTAGAGACAATTGGTGAGGTTATTAAAACAGCCATTTTGAATGAAAAAAATGGGAATGTCAGCATTCAGACTAAGTAAGCCACTTCACAGTGTAAAGAATAAAAAGCAACAGAAGTCTTTCATATGTGAACACTGATAGCCAAAACTGATACGTTATCTATAATCATGAGCATAGCCCAATTTTCTGAACTGATTCTCTGAATCTAAATCCTCCTTAGCTGTTTGTCTGATACACAGTGGTCCTAAACAAATTCTGAACGGCCACTCTAGAGTATGACTGCAGAATCACTGGGTCTTCATAAAGCTACTGCTGCAACTTCCAGTGCTTCAGGCATGCCACTGTAGCATGTCTTCAATTTCTGACTTTGGATTATGACTCTTGGTTCCGCTCTTGAAGCGGTGCTTACTTCCTGGCTCCAGACTAGTTCCTAACCATCTGGATAGAGTGCCCACATACCAGCCCAAAACAATGCTCTTTCACGCAGCAAATCTGCAAAGTCAGATGGGAATCAAGAAGAGGACCATGTTTGTTACTGCATCAAATGCCAACACCCAGCTAAAGTCACAGTAAGCTGGCTGTGCAGATGCACTGAGAATTATCATCATTTTCTGTGATCCAGCTAGGATTCTGGTTTTCACATTTGCTATCTTAAATCATAGCTTCATAAAAGTACAGTTCTTTTTAGTTGCAACTACTTTTCCTGCTAAGTAGCACCACACCTAGCACATATAAAGCATATACATTTCACCTTGCTTGAATGTTAATTTGAATTTTTATGCAAAAAAGGGACTTTTAAAAAACTATTTGTTGTCAAGTGCACATAAGTAAAGAATGACATCCAATCTAGCCTAAAGTATATGGGCTTCAGGTAAAAATGAGAAAGTTTACAAATTCAAGAAATCACTTCAGAAGGCAAGGTATTTGTTTAGATGTTTCTTTTAAAAGCCATTTTTTCCACAAAGGAATGTAAAATATTTTAAAATAGAATTTTACAGAATCATTACCTTATAAGTTTCAATATGATGTCTCATAAGATCCTCCAGTGATGACGTCAGAGCTCTGAACTGCTATTAAATACTGCTTTGTATATCTACATCTATATGCTTACCTACTTTTATATATTTAACTCAGTCCAGCTCAATATATCTATCTCTGACATTCAGCCAAGAGTGCAAACTCTAGCATATCACATTCCACAGAAGGAACGGGTAGGTGAGGTTACTGTGGTCAGATTGTATGTCTCAACATGCAAAGGAAACACCCTAGTCTGACTGACATACAAAAAATTAACAGATACGACAATATAAACGATTACATAGTCTCTTGACAAAAAAAGAGCTCTTGTTAAACTGCTGAACTTTTAATATTCTGACTAGGTTCTCTTCAGAGTTACTTTAAAGTGAATTTTACTTCCATTGCTATTGTACGGATCAAGCTCACGGGTTACATAAACTGCTGTCTGAAACAAAAAAGAACTCGATACTAGTAATGGAGTTTTAAGAACTCCTAAAAAAGAATATATACTGCTGCATTGTTCAGCTTAGCCTTTACATACGCACCTGCGTCAAGACCATGGAAGGGATTAAAGTGGCGTTAAGCCACTTTCAGATATTACAGTGCTCCTATGGGAGTGGAAAGGCCCTGGATGTGATTTTAAAATAGCCTTGCCTCAGTTACAGGGCTGAGCACTGCAACGCTTTCATACTGTGGCTGCATTCCCGACGTGACCAATGGAGATGTCAGAAGGCAGCTTGATAGCCATCTCCAAAGTCCCTTCACCTAGGAACTTTTTTTTCCAGCAAGAACCTGCTCTTTTGCTGATTCAGTCCCTTTATTTGATGTAACAAAGGACAGGAAGAGTCTTCTGGGCCTCTGAGTGTTTAGGCAATTTTTAAACATGGTACCTCAGGTAGGAGTAGCAATACATTTAAAGAGTTGGCATTTCAAGGCTTGACAGCGGGATCTTGATGCAGTAACAAATAACACAAGGCAAAGACAATTACATAACCAAATATATAAGAAGGACTGACTTGCAATGTTTTCTCTGTTTTTGTTCCTTAACTACAGGTTTAAACAAAATTAGTTCCATTTTCTTTCCAATATATAAGAAACTTTAAGCTTCTCACCTTGTTTAGAAATATACACAGTATACATTTGTTCCTAAAAATACTTAATATATTATTAACATACGTTCTTCTATTCTTTACCTTTGTTTGATTAGCCAGCTCAAGATGTTTGTTCAAAACTCTTTCAGACTCGGACAAATCAAAACCAATCTCCATACCAGTTAAAAGCATCGGGGCGATTTTTTTAATTGACTGTGATACCTTTAATTGAAAACATTCTTTATATAGTTAATTTACATAAGTAGACAGCATAAAAACCTCTGTTTAGAGCAAAGCAAAGAAACATGATTGATAGTTGGTGTTTAGATTATGTACTTTATATAAACAAAGAAGCTGAGAAATGAAAACATCAAGGAGAAAATTCTACTTTTTCAAATTAACAGGCATAGTCAGAATTTGAGCAAAACACTCTGGTTTGCTCTTACTTTGTTGAGAGTGCTTTTCTTTATCCTAACTATTCCAGCTTCATTTCAATAAGCCACAACTGTACTATAATCTTGATATTACAACCTTTGCATAAATACTTTCACTATGCTCCATTTTACAAAAAGACTACACAGATCTTTTTTTCAACAGATATATTTAAAGCTTTTCTCACAAGCCAAAAGACCTGTTTTTGTGCAGATACATGTACACAACTCCATTTTCATTGTCACTGCAAGATGTTATATATATCTGATGATAACCAGATAGGTTGTGAAGAGCAGCGGCAGATGACACCAGATACCATATAAATAGTTATTAGTAGACATCTGAATTCACATGTACTATATATCTTATATATTAATAACTGCCTGCTGATTGAGGTTCAAGCTTTATTAAATGAAGCTCTGGGCCAGCTGAATTTAGCATCAGATTCTCTGGAATACTCCGCGTTAGCGAAGGTTTCAATAGAAAATGTTTTGCTTGGTCGGATAACAACAATGTGGGCAGTGTTCCCTACAATGAAAGATGATATATTATGACTCAGATTTTCAAATGCCCTCTAATACAGGATTGGGAACAAAATGGCAGAATAAGCAGTGCAGAATGAAAATACAGGTCAAACCTTGTGAGTCTACCTTGTGAGTAAAAATTACTTTCATAATTAAATGTTTAGCTTAATTAAGATTCACAATGTCCTAGTGACATCATTGCTACAAGACCAACAGCAAGTTGGTCAGTAAGTCTCTTATTTTCAGCTAAAGAAACGCCAAGATATTTTCATCACCTTCAAACTTTGTGAGATCTCTTCTCCAGAAAATGCATGTAAATAAATGCAGTTTGCATTTACTGCAAACTGACTTCCCACTGGACCTGCAATAGTTCATTATAAACATCATGCAAATACTATGAAATACCAGATTACAGACATAATCATTCATTCATTAAATTTGATCTACTTTTTTTGGTCTACAGTTCAGGATTTCCTTCATCTGAACCTTGTCATAAAGATTATATTGCATTTGAATTTGAATATATACATGGCATCTTATTTAGAAGCCATGAGCCTATTTTATCTGTGATAAATCATTAAAAAGGTCAGCAGTAGTACAGAATATTCAGCAGCTTCAAGAAGGCTGCAAGCTCCGTAATGGGTCAGTATCTTTATGAGTAAAGGCAATTATTATAGTGAGTGGGACACACTCTACTTCAGTGTTACTGAAAATTTGCTGCAATTCACTGTCACCATTCTTATTAATCCTAAATTTTACCACACTTTTTTTTTCTTTTTAGCTTCAGGAAAATGAAACTGAAGACATAGACAGAATACAGAAAACGTGCATTCAAGTCACAGTCCTGATTGCTTGCTGCTTTTCCAAGACAGGACAAATTATAAAAGCTCATTATCTAAACAAATCCATGCTTTATTAAAGACTACTGGTATAACGTTCTCATGGAAACAGCTGCATTTTTCAGAACAGCTTTGGATTCACTGGTGCCTATAACAGCATTCAGCATTCCAAGTACAATCAAATGCGCTCTCTAACAAGCCAATATGTTATTTGGAATTATTCAAGTCAAGTTTAATATTCACACAGTTAAATTATAGAAGTGCAAGGCACAGTTCATGAATATGTTAGCAAGAAGGCATTTTATGATGTACCTTATTTAGATGATCTTCAAGTGACGCAGTCAATTGCTGCTTCTTCAAAGTAAGTTCTTTGTAATCTGGACACTGCCCAACTAGTCGATCTACTTTTTTCTGAACGTACTCCATCGTTTTCTGAATTCCTGTCATCCAAGAGCTAAAAGGGAAAGGTACAACTGTTAGCGTTCTCAAGGTTTGCACATAACCAGGGTAATAATGATCAAAAAAAAAAAAATCCTTCTGTTGATTTCTATCACAAGTAACTTAACAAGAACTTTAAACTGTAACCCTTAAAGAAAATAACCTACAGAAAATAACCAAAATTAATGCAAACAAAACTGATAATGAGTAGAACACAGGAATGACATTTCCAAACAAATCATTTACTGCCAGTACATAAATTAGATTCACGTGCCAGATATCCTGGCCTGATTCACTGAGGAATATCTTATTTCACAGTCCAATAGTTCCATATGACTTCAGCCATATTGTCTGAAGAATAAGGTCATAAATGGAACACCCCTAAAGAGAGTGGAAATACTTGGAATATCATTTCTAGTTGTAAAAATTTTTTTCTTTTGATTTTCAAATGTTTCAGTGTTATTACAGTAGGTGCATAAAAAAATGTCGCACACGTTCTAAGGCAGCATTTGTTGCCTTAGAAGGCCAGCGTGCCAGCCTAAGGGCCAAGCCTCAACTTTCTAAGTACCAACAGCATAAAGATGCTGTTTGAAGAGGAGTAAAGAGTACATGGATTGATGAAACACTGGCTTGATTTATAATTTAAAACATTTAACATCAGGTAGGCAATTCATAATCTGAATCGTTGAGGCAATCCTCTTCAAACTGTAAAAAAGTTATCACAATTAAGATCTGAAGCTTTGATATAAAACAGAAAAAACCCACATATCAGTTGATTTACCACTGAAATTTATTCCTAGTAAGAATTTTTTTTTTTTTTTAAGACAAACACTTTCAAAACATGACTTTCCTCAGTCTCATTTCATCATAAGCTTACTTTGATATATGTACTTATTCAAGGTTTGCTCCTTTGTTACAAGAAAATTACAAGAAATATTCTCCTGACTTCAGATTAAAGAGCTAAATTCTGCACTCTCATAAAAAGAAAACCTTGTTCTACAAGCACTGATGTAAATTATTATATTAATAAACCATTTAGCTTGAATCTGATCCAAAAATTCTTCACAAAGAAAACCCAAATTTTAAGGGTCCTTTGTATCACCTTTGGAAAGGTGATTTCAAAATTTGTAAACTGCTCCTTCAAAAATTAGCAACCTCTTAATTTGTGGTTTATTCTTTAATTCTAAGAACATTACTCCTCTCTTTCAGTACTCAAAAAGCAATTTAAAAAAAAAAAAAAAAACTTCTACCAGAACCACCTCATCAAAAAAAAAAAAAAAAGGCAGTAAGAGATTAATATTTTTACTTTTACTTTTCGAAATTGATAGGTTAGACCTTAATAAAATCTTCAAAAGTATTACTGGTTTGATGAGTTAACACAATTAATTTATAACAGTGAAACTGAGTTTAATCAGCAGTAAAAGTAAAGATAGTTCTTACATTCATAGGCAAGCAAATTAGCCGGAAAAGTAACAAGGGCTCTCTTAATGGACAAAACCTATTGATTATATAATTGTCTTAGAGTTAGCAAATATATATTTTTGCTGCGCTCCTGCATTACTAGCTGGTTTTAATTTAATAATATGGGACCTCAAAATCAGGTTTACCATTATTTTTCCTGTAATAAAGAACTGCCTTCTGTGGCTTTTCCATGTGTAAATTTTTGGCATTTAGGCTTATTTTTACCTTTTAATACAGTAAGACTGTAATATGCCCTAAGATTTTAAAATAAGACTATAACATCATCATTCTTCATTTCTACTGTGAATTTTACTTACTGTAACGCCACTTAGTTCAGTGGCACTAGCCTTAAATATAATCCTACTCTATGTAAGCATTGGCAGTATTACGTTTCTAGATCATAAGTTATTCAGGACTCAGCTGTGTTATCATATGCATATAAATTGCCTGGCTCATTTTTGGGTACTCTGAAAAGGATAACAACAAAACTATGTGGATGCAGAAATCCATTTACATATTAATTCTTCTCCTAATGCTCAAGTACTTACTCTTCTGTCAGTGCAGTTAAACCAGTATCACACACAGCAGTCACTTTGATACGCCATTAAAATCCATTTTCCAGTACTTCATTTAGAGAAAACAATGCAATGGAGGGCATGAGCCCCTCAAAATCAAAGAGGTGCTATGCAACTTGAGCAAGGTCAGCAGACTCCCTCTCTTTTATTAATAAAAAGTATTTCATCTGAAAAAGCGGAAAGTTCAGCCTCTTTCCTAAAACCAGTACAGCGAAGTAAGTAGCAGAGGATGTGATGCCTCTTCCTCTGCCATAAATGATGAAGGAGTTCTAAAATTACTGTGCTTTAACTATTCTTTCAGGGATCTGGAAGCTACTTTCAAACGTCACACAAATTTCTACTGGCTGCCATCTGGATTGAGAATCCTACCAGATGACAAACACTTAGCAGCTACATATCTCATTGTCAGATAATATTTTCTTTTCTGTCTTACGGCAAAGCAGCTTTTTGAACAGACGCGTAAACTTTTTCAGATCCACACCCTTTACTGCCTTCAAATGGTGACTGCCCATCTCCCACAGGATTTTCAGTCTTAGTTGGTAAAGGAAATGAAAAGTTTGTATGGGTAGTTCAGAACACTGATGAGTTGTGCGGTATGGAAAACAAGAGAGTAATCAGTACTAGATCTGGATAAAAGTCCTGTTTCCTATCAAAATCTTGCTCCTCCCTTGGCCCTCAGCTGCTCACACAAATCCTCCTGTCCCATGTGGGCTAACCACTGGGCTAAATAGCAGTCACTGTTTAAGGACAGCACACCGGTTTACACATGACAAAGAGAGAGGACTCTTTCTTCCCTCCTTCAAAACATGAACTTTTCTGGGGAAATTAATCTTCTGGAATGTAATGTCTTACCCACATTTGCTGCCAGAACTTATTTGTGTCACCATTTCTAGACTTGTGAGCTGGCTGGGAGCATTCTGGTAACTCTTAAAGTTGATGGATTAGGCAAGAAAAATAAACTTGTCTTGGTGTGCAGGAAGTTGAACATGAGTGAGCATCGCTGAAGGCTGGCCCCACGCTGAGCTCAATTAGCAAGAGCATAGCCATCAAGTTACTCTGCTCTGTTAAGGGCTTCTGAGGCTGCATCTGGAGACCACTTTGTCCAGTTTGAGTCCCCACAGTACTAAAGAGACAGACAAGCTGGAGCAAATTGAGAACAGGCCACCAAGATGATCGGGATCTGGAGCACACAGTGTATGAGGGAAGGCTAACAGAACTGTGTTTGTTCAGACTAGAGAAGAGAAAGCAAAGGGGCAATCTAATCCCTTTTTTCAATTATCTATTGGGAAGTGGGCTTATAGAAAAGACAGAATAAATCTTCTCAGAGGTGCACAGTAAAACAGCAAGAGGCAACGGTCACAAGTTGCAGCAAGGGAAATTCTGGCTGGACATAAGGAAAATTTGTTTCACAATAAGTGCGCTTAAGCACTGGAACAGGCTGCCCAGAGAGGCTGTGGAATATCCATGTTTGGATATTCCTTTAATCAAAACTTGAGCAAACATGGCCCTGAGTGACCTGATCTAACTTTAAAGTTTTGGGCAAGGGGTTACACCAAATGAATGGGTAAGGCTCCCTTCCAACCTAAATGACTCTAATCCTCCAACCCATGTTTAGGCATATGGAGCATCCCATCTGCACAGAAGTACTTGCACTACCTGCTGAAATACATGGCAATTTCATTATATGTGAGCAGTGAGGTGTGAGGGCAGCAAGAGAAAACTGAAAATTCATAGTGTTCCATTTTCTTTCTTAGAAAGAGACTTATTTTTATGATGCAAGTGGATGTTTCAAATATTTGAATCTTACATTTCTACTGAGATTATCAATTGACATGGTTTAAGTTTCCTCTAATCTGGAAATAATTGTTGCTTCAGCTGTTATACTTTGTACTTCAGCTGTTATACTTTGTACTTTTTTAATTATAAAGTCTTTTAGGCATAAATACTACCTTCTTTATTTGTTTATAGACAAGCAGCCCTTCTGGCATACAAGAGATCTGTCTGTAGCATTACCTATTTGTATTTAATGTTGCCAGAAATTACTGCTGGGGTAATTCTGACAAATCCATCCCATTCTTATTGGCGTATACTGATATCTTACTATCCCAGTGCTGAGTTGAACTGTTCAAACATAAAGAAAACTCTTAATAAGGAAGAAAGAAAGTTAATGACCTTTGCTATTTTAGGGAATCATTCCAGCAAGGACTGTAGAGTTCTTAACATCAACCAGCCCTCTGCAGGACAGACATATAATTTGGAACGCAACATCCGCTTTTCTTGAGGTACTGTCTGGCAGAACAAAAAGTCCTACAGAACAGCAGCATTCTGCAATCCAGCAGTGTTCTGGGATTATGGCTGGTTTAAAAAATGAAGTCAAAGCTTCACTGAGGAAAATCATTTTTCCATTCTACTTAAGTAAAAGACCAGGATTTGCTGAAGCACCAGCTGCATGTGTTCCTAAAACCACTTTCTATTTGCATTTTGTATCCAAATACAAATCTCTTTGCTAGGTTCAAGCCTTTTATTACATCTAGGTCAACAGCTGAAGGTGTCTTGGATAAAATTTGTTGCAATGTCATAATATGAAAAGAAAATATTTCTTATCTAGATTTTCAGTTGCGGGGTTGAAGTAAAGGTATTCAAAGTTCAGGAATGGTTAAGGACATAAGCATGTAAGGGGAAGGTAATATTTAGCTGACCACCAGCTATCAAACAAGCGCATCTGCCCTAGCTGTAAAGTAAATGTTATTACTATAAATGATCCTTATTCTTGTTGCACCAACCTTCTACTAAGTTCTGAAAAGTAGGTGATATTAAACTATTAGGACTGATTTTAAACTAAGCCATGTTTTACATCAGTGTAATAATCATATCTGTGGAGTACATCATCACTGTTATTAGCAAAATGTGTGGAAGAAAAAAGTGATTTCATTCATGAATTAAAGCTATGAAGAAGTGGAGAAACTTCCATATTTTCCTGCATTTGGCTTAACAGGCGTATCTTTGTCTTGCATCAAATCACGTTATATCTATTACAATGATAAGTGTCAAAAAGGTCTTAAGGGATTACATTGGGCAGTAAGGACTGTTCATAGCTGTTGACATATTAATTTTCATTTACTGCCCCAATATATTAATCCCACTCTTTGATATAAATCTTGTAAGTATCACAGGACTATGTCTGAAGATTTTTGTCAAAGAGAAGAGATTCCGTCTGTATGAACAGCAACAGTGAGACATAAAAAATAAGTATGGCTGAAACTTTGATTTTTGAGGTCACTTAGGCCTCCACCTACTTGGATAAATGCAGCCTCGTTCTAGCTAGTGTTGTTATAAAACAACTGGCAAATATGGAAAAATGGAGCAGATATGAAAAAAATAAAAGAAATACCTGTGAGAATCTGCTTTATTAACTAAGGTTTGTCCCTTTTGCAAGGTACTGGTTGTGCAGTCTTTAATTTCTTCCTGTAATTCCTCATACTTCATTGCTAAGATAGGCAAACTTAAGCCTTCTGAATTAAGAATTTTAAGGTAATTCTCAATATCTTCAAGAGCACCAACGGCCTGCAAAAAGAAAAGCATCTACTATCAGTATTTCTATTCAAAATGTGTATCTATGTATGTATTCTTTTACATGAAACAAACAGATGATCAATGGACAATCAATATTTCCTATTTCTTGAGAAATGAACAGCAATATTTTAAATCAGTGCATGATACTGACTTTACAGGTCATAGAAGAAAACAGCTATAATTCCACGGAACTTAAAATAAGTACGGGCGTGCAAAATCATGATTACCATTTGAATTTAAAACCATTATCTTTTTCAGCAATAGTCAGGCCAACTGGATACTGAAGCAGAACCAAAATAACACAAGTAATATAACTGAAAGTGTGTTATCACTCTAGGGTTTGTTAAAGCACACTAATAGTTTTACCTAAACTCTTTTTCTTTTTAATATTTTAAATACATCAAACATACCAACAAGTAAACTATAATTTAATCTATTTTCAGTAACAAGGTAGGCTATGATTTTGAACATACAAAACTTGGGTATTATTACACATATTCTGTTTTCCATTGTACAAAAGGAAGTTTCTCATTCAAATACCAGGAGAAACTGACAGAAGTACTTTTAAAAAAATAGGAGACAGAATGAAAACACTTCAATACTCCAATATTAAAATTATTAAAAGTGATATTAGTAAAATAGAAATGTGTCAAAACCTAATAGCATTATTAACGTCACAGCAGTAGTGACACAGCCTCTTAGGCACCTTTTTTTAAACTGCTCCGAACACCAAAAATCTTAGGATCTAAATAAAGCAAGGAAGCAGACAATAACAATTGCAGCAAAAGGTGCTACATTGCAAGTGAAAAGTTAGACTATAGATTTGACAATAAAGAAATAATTTAGAGTATCAATACCTTTTAACAAAATGACATTACCCAAACACTTACTGAATCATATATGCTGAATCTGGTACCAAAAGTTTTTTTACTTATGTTTTATTTATGTTGCCATTACATTACAAAAGCTGTTATGAGTGTGAGAAGGGAATTCTGTTCTAGCCAACATACTGTAATGTCAAAAAAAAAAAAAAAAAAAAAGCAAGCCTTTCATTTTTTTTAACTTAAAATGGAAACCTCTACAATCTCTTCTGCTGCTTTTCTCTTGTGGGAAATATCTAATAGCCTCAATTTCCCATTTAACATATACATTTACAGAACAAAGTAAAAATCTTTACATTTACTACATCTGAAAAGCAAAAGTACTTTGATGCAGAGTAAATCTGTATTCATATGAAAGGTCTCTACAAGGTTCCTGTATTCTTACAGAGGCATGGAACTGGAACTATATGAGTAATGGTTTGAATAAAATGTGGAAAAATGAAAAACCAGAGATATTCTTATGGGACTATATGATTCAGCTTGATACGTTGGATATGAACTAAGAACTCAGCAACTGAGAATGGACTCTGTTGCAGACTCAAAATAGCAAGCAGAGATGCCTGAATCTCTCAAACAACGGAAATCTATGCACAAGAAGGTTATTTTTCCTTGCAGAATAAAAGATTCAGCATGAAAAAAATTAAGTTATCCTGACTATACTAAGAAAAATTTCTAGGAACAAGCACACTCCATCAAGGAGGAGTGTGATTGAAGGTACCCAGGAAGAACTTTTCCTAAAGCATGAAATCCTTTTAGTTATCATAACTATAAAAAAGGCAGTCAACTTCAGACCAAGGCAAGAACTAAGAATAGATTCATGGCTGTCTATGAATTTTTTAGAGGTTTTTCTGCAAATAGAGGCCCTTCACATGAGCTCAGGAACTCAGTGAAGTTTACTTTGTATAATAGGTTCTATATAATGAATTGTAGTCTTGAGGACCATATTTAAGAATCTTAAATTAAAGAGTCATAGGAAAGTTACGAAGCATTCAAGAACAATTATGGATTTATAAGCATTTCAGAAGGAGTTATCCACTCAGACTTATTATAAGTATTATTAGTTAACATATTTAACTAGCTATGCATCAAATGTGAGAAAGTGTTTTGAATCTTGGTAAACAGCAATAGGGAAATTTAAAACAAATAAAACAAAAAGGTATATACGAGTGCCACTGTGTTATAATTCTCAAAGAAGAACTGCAACAAAAAAAAAAAATGCCAAGCATCCACTGCACTTTTCCCAATCTTGACAGGCTTTGTAACTGTGTGTGACTGTGTATTTGCAAAACACGAATGGTGAGGTTTTGGAGTTTTCCACTTTAATTTTTTGTTTTTTCTTTGGTTTTCTTTTACTTCTGTCTCTCTTCCTCAGCTGTCTGACACAGCTTTCAGACCTTTTAAAGGAAATAAAGGATATAGTCCCTCTGTGCATCCTCTGTTTCTCTACTGCCATCTGGCTCCATACAATTGTCTTATTTTGAATCGAACGGGTATGCCTGTTCAATTGTCTCTCTGTAGCTCCCTACACTTCATGAATTACCAAGACTGAAACAAAGGAAAGGATTTTTTCAGCATGGCTTCTGTTCAGAAATATATACTTGTATGTATTTATTTATTTTCATTAATACTGAATGCTATCAACACAAAATCATTGACTAACAACAAACACAAAGCCCTGAAAACTCCATTAACGCTACCACCACCAACAACAAAAATAGCATTTCTATTGTTTGAGCTGCAGTTTCTCAAGAAAATACCTGTACTTGCAATTTGGAACGTACCTAGAAGGTTAAACAGGATGAGTTTCACTGGATGACGCAGAGGTATGCATGTCAATTCCCACAGCTCCATGCAGAGAGCATCTACCTCTAAGTACCACCTGCATGTTCACTTTAAAGCTACTTAGTATATATACCACCTTAAATGATTTTGAATTTTGGAATGGTCTATAGAAGAAAAAGCAGTCTCGAAAGTAGTTACAAGCAAGTATGTATGGCCCGGAGCTCAAAATCAAAAGTTCTATTTTGAAGTAACTGAGAGGCCAAAGCACAAGATCTGTCACAGCTAACTGAAAATGTGAATCGGCAAATATACTGAACTCAGTATAGCCTTATTTATTTGCTTAAAGTTATTCTAGTAAATGTTTTCAAGCTGCTGCCCTATCAAAGCAATCTTAGTCTAGACCAGGTGTAATTTCTCAAGTATTCTCAAAGGATAGCTACATAGAGCTACCACTGCAGGAAGTCAAACTGAAAGTAACCGCGTAAGCGTTAATTGGGACAACATATAAAGGAAAGGTGAGCAAAAGCCTAGCTTTCAAGAAACATACATGATTAGAAAATAGCCACAGAACCTCAGACTTTGCCAACGTGCAGGACATGATTAGAAAATAGCCACAGAGCCAGAAGAACCTCAGACTTTGCCAACGTGCAGGAACTACTGCCTAATGCAGTCAAATGAACAGAACTTAAGACAAAGACAATGCAAGTGCTATGCTTTTTCTAGCTTTCAAGTAACTAAAGTGTAGTCTGTGTTACCTTCCTAAATTCATTAAAAATGAAAATGGCAGTGAAAGATAGACAATCTAAAGAGTTTTTTTTTAAGTTAGTTCAAGGCAACAGCTATTCTAGTTTGCTTATTTGCCCTTTATAAACACAGTCCGGAAGTTCAGGTATGCCCTAAGAATGGCTGAAAACGCCTGGTTTCTGAACTATAGTAATTCAGTTTCAGTGCAGCACAACAGGAGTAGGTCCTGTTCTGTTCATTCTTGCACTGAATAGGGAGTAGTGTAACAGCATGCTATGCAGACGTACCAAAGCTAGTCCTGTCTTTGACATGTACTTTGACAAAGCATAGCATTGTATTCTGAAAAGATGCTACTACCTCTGCTGTCAAAGCAGTAGACCTACATTTGTGTGGCTCCTCCCGACCTAGTTAAGGGTTGACCATCAGCAGATACAGCACTGTTTTCACCTGCCTTTCTTGGATTCCTCTTGTTATAAATGAAGTCAAGAAAGATCAGACTTGTTGGAGCAAAAGGTGTCTAGCACTTCAAGGGTCTGTAAATCATTTCAATAGTAAGTATTTTTTATTATGTTGTTAGAAAAAAATATCAAGGGAACATAGCACAATTTAAAAGACAAATGTGATTACAGCCCCACCTGGTGCTCAAAGCACAAATTAGTGAAGGCAAAGTCTTCAGGTTTTTTCGGGAGAGTTGTTCAAACTCTTACTGGAAGTGACCAGCTCCTAAAGAGTCTATAAATGACCTACAAACTCTTACTGGAAGTGACCAGCTCCTAAAGAGTCTATAAATGACCTACAAACAATACGCTTCAAAAAACAAAAACAAAAAAGGACGGTTTGATCTTTAGGCACCTTAAAATAGAAACTTTTCTAACTGATCTTCTAACTAGAAAATTCTGGGATAAAGCTTGCTTTATTAATACTACTTGATGAATGCACCTGTGAAGAATGGGCTCCTCATAAAATGGAAAAAGAGGTTTCACATTTTAAGCTTGTCATTTAAGTTTGAGGTTCTCCTTTTCAGTTGAAAGTGTTCAAATATAGCAACTGATTTTCAAAATTATCAAGCCTTAAAACTAAATGGGATAGCTTCAGATAGCAAAGTCTAAGAACTTAGTATTTCCAAAAAGCTCAGAAACTCTTGTTTTCTTTAATTTCAATGTAACATGCACTTATTCAGTACTGATAGCTAAAGACCTCATGTTTCAAAAGCTTTATGCTCCCAAATCAAGGCAACAATACTGAGACAATTCTATTTCTAAAAAAAATAGATCTCAGCTCTGAGAGCACATACCTGGAAAAACCCTAAAATATGTTTTCTACTGACATGAAGGCTAGATAAGAGAAGATTCTTTGCTTAATCCCTCTGCTCTAACACAAATCAATTTGCTTCAACAAATTGCTGCAAAGTAATAATACCAGAAATTACTTTTGTCACATGGATAAGCCACATAATTCCTAAATTACTTCTTATTTTAATAAAGAATATGATTCAGTTTACAGTCACAGAAAATCTACCAGAAATGTGGTAAATTGTTCCAACAGATCATTTTTTCCACTGTTGAAAAAAATATGCCTTATTTCTAGTCTGTTTTTACCTAAATTTGTCAAAGGATTTGGTTGACAGAAAAAGTATGTATTATCACACTTTCATTGCCCATATAGGTGCTTATAGGTTGCCTCTCTTCATTATCTACTACTCTTAGAGTGATTATAAATATTTTAAGCAGAAAAAGACCAATAATCAATCCATAATAGAGCACATCTGTTGTAAAAATCCTCATTTATGTCCTTTTTTAAGGCTTAAAATAGATGTGGCTCTGAATCTGAAAAGTAGCTTGTAGGTTTTATATCATTCCCTTTCATTATCAAAACACGAAATAGCACTGATACAACTACAGAAATCTGTTATAACACTTTTTCCACCTTTATTGACCAACAGTCTTCCTGACATATGTGAATGGATTTACATTAATGATACTAAGCTCCCTCAATTCTTTATCATTCAGCTCTTCTGTCAGCTGTTTCCATGACTTCACCCAAGCCTGATTTTATTTTGAAATGCTGTGTCCTCCCTCCTCTTTCCCAAAAAACTTTCCCTCTCCACCCTTTTTAAGTTCAGTACAATATTAGCATTCTTCCAGTTTGGGGGAAATTGGAAGTTTTACAGATTTGCAAGCAATACCTCTTAAAAGGGGGGAGGGAATTTTTTTTTTTTTTAACCTCTCATAAATTTTAAGAAGACAGTATGAGTTACAGCCAAATTTGCATCCAAATAAGATGCTAATTTTTATTATATAAGCACACATCCACTGCAAACTGGCTTATGATCATTTTGTATATAGCAAGAACAATTGTTCAGAGGATCATTTTATTTTTGTTAAGACTAATTTAAAATTCAACCCAGTTTCTCAAAGAAGTAAGGTTCAGTAAGCAAAATACTATTGAATACAGTTCTAGCAACATGTGTGCCAGCCAATGAATATTTTAGCTTTTAACTGGGAACATTCTGCAGCAAAGAATAGGCACTGGGGTCCCTCAGGATTCATTTTGTTTCAGTATAAGTGAACAGCACTCTTACCATTTTAATTCTTTTTGATTGCACATGGATGAATCTCAGGTCATTTCTATTATGTCTGTTATTATGTCTACTATCATTTACTTTCTTACTATATGCATTTCCTTGACTGTATTGTATTCCTGTATAGCGATTTTTTTTCAGTCATTTTCTTTTCCTTTTCTTGAAAAATAAGTTTAAAAACATTTGTTTCCTGGACACCTATTAAAGTTACCCCTTGAATTAATTTAACTTAAAAACTAATAATACATTTTTAACTGTGATTAAGTATTACCTTGTAACATCAAAACATTTCAAAAAGAATTTTAAGATCTTAGGCCCTGAGCCAGTAAGAATACTGAGAGTAATCTAACCCATTTAAGACCACATGATGACTGGTCTAAACAACCTCAGGAGATGACTGAAGAACAAAGAGTTATTATTATTTTGGAATAGGGATTTGAAGAAACAGTCTACGAGAATATTCTTACGCTGCTCACGTTACAGTCAATGAAAAAAAACTAGGAGAAATGATAAATAGAATTCTTGAAAGTGTACTGAAGTATCCTAGTAAGATAAACACCTTTTATGATGTAGGAGGTGCGGTAAGAATTATAAATAGGCTGTAACAAGAATTAATGACCAAATTTATGAAAATTATTTTCATAAGAGCAATAATTTCTGCAGCTGATGTTTGGAAAAGTAAAGATTTAGCTTTCAAATATTCCTTTTTGGATGGGGCAACAATGATTTAGTCATCTTCATCACATGAGATTAGGAAAAGATGGAGAGAGACATACTAGTCAAGGCTGATTGTTCCGAAATACAATCCACACAAAAAAAGCAATGTATAGAATTCAGTAGATCAGCAGGCCCTCCTTAGCCTTTTCAGTGAGAGCTCCAAGAATCTAATTTTGAAATCTGAATCACTGAATCTCCAAATGAGCACTCCAGTGATGGAAACTATTGCCTACACATTCCCTTGCTGACCTCATTATAGTCTCCAGAAGGTGAAAACATCCTCAAAAATCAGGACCTTAATTCATCTTTTATGCTGAGACTAAGTGAGTTTTGTGCTTTTTTTTAACTGGCCTCTTTGCTGTTATATCATGTCTAGTCCATGTAGTGTATGACAAGCCCTATATGAAGGATTATAAATTGTCCTTATTACTCTCATGTCTGATTATTAATTAGCCCCTGCGGAGAACACTGCAAGTATAGATACTTCTTCTGGTGCCCATTCTAGCATGTAACAGCTGGGTACGTTAGAGCAACTCCTCTATCTTTCCTTACATAGCATTATGTCATCATGACAGAGCCCATGATCTTAAAGTCCAATTTTTGGCAGATTTCTCATATACCTTATTTCAAGAATACTAAAACTCTTATTTTGGAAGCTGAGACCTCTTGTCCACATAGACATTTTAAAAAGCATTTTAAAATACACTTACCATTTTTGAGAGAATTTTGAGGTAAAAGATTACAGTAAAGGCTAATCAGATTAATAATTATGCATTCCAAAAGGCTTAATTAAGCCTATTTGCATAATCCCATGTATAACAGCCTTTAAGAGCAACGTAAAAGTTGTATTATCAGGGTACTATTTATTACCGGCTTGGGTTCTTACCGACCTTATTAGCAGCATTAAAAAAGTCGTTAGCCTCTTGTAGCAGGGCCTTCCTCTCTTCCATATGGCAGCATACCTCTTCTTGCAGCACACAGATTTTCTGATTTGAAAGCTTCAGATGTTCTTTGTCTGCAGAGTCCTCCCAAAGCAAGACTTTAAGTGCTTCAGCCTTCAGTGTTTCCACAGTGGAATTCCATTCCTAACAGGAAGAATTCCACTTTAATTAACTATACAGAGAAAAAGTAACATATCTGCACAGTAACAATAATATAAATAATGGAAACTACAGATCACATTTACAGGTCTGGAGGTTATCACCATCTGAAATAATTTCTGCTAGGAGGGGTTTCTCAGCAAAGCATGGTTTTAGTGCCAGCATTGTTAGTGGCAGCATTGTACATTCTTTGCACACAGTTTCACATACAGAAGTAGCATACCTAAATTAGTGTATCTGTTGTCCAGACCAGCCTGGAACATACAAAGAGCAGGTCCAGCTGTACAAGAAACTTTTTCTTCAATTTTTAACGATGAAGATATCATTTATACTAGGTGACATCACATTTCTATGATAAACAACCCCTTAAGCCCAACTGTTTAAACAATAACAAATTAAAATCCTGCCTGGATAATAACTGCTTTCAGTAACACAATTTCTGCTGAGAGCTCTCTAGTAATCGCTTAAATCCAAATGATTATCCTTTAAGTAACATGTGGTATCCTCCTCCTTCATCATACATTTTCCCTGACTTTGTTTACAAAAAAAAAACAAGTCAGTTCAAATGTCTGTGCCTCATCTGACCATAAGCCACCCCAGTGGCAATGACAGATAAAAGGGGTGGTTTAGAAAGGATGATCATACATTGAATTTCAAGCCACACAGCCAGAAACACTATCGACACTTGATTGAGTTAGGTACTTTAAAACTCAAGTGCTTTAAAGTGGATTTAACTGAATCAGTACAAGTTTGCATGTAGATGCTTCATCTGCACTGCACGGTTTGAAGTTTACCTAATCAGAACTGATTCTCTGTGTTGGCTACTATTTCTTTTTTAAACTATTCATCCTGCACCGATTTGTGCTTCTAGTGTACTGACGCCATTTACACATCAAATTTAGGGGTTCAGCCAATGCACTTTCCTTTACATACAAAACTTTTATTTCCACAGTTTCCCCTATTATGATGCTAGTACGGTCTTCGGTCCCACTATCTTCTTTAAGTTATAAAGAGGTATCGAAAAGTGTATCAGACTAGATAACTGAAATGGAAAGAATCTTCAAGGAGTCAAGAAAAAAACACCATTTCTTAATATTCTAATAATAATTAATAAAGTTCTTAATAAACCATTGCTTTATTTTTAGTTGCTTTTTTTTTTTTTGCTGTGTTCCTTTAGAAGAAGCAGTAAGATAGTAAAACTATTACATAACGTACCTTTTTTCCTATTGTGCTTGTCAACACTTAATATTAGAACTGTACTGCGCTACTCAAAACAAAAGGAGCACCTGCTATTATCGTATAATTTCCCATGTCTTAGGTAGCATTTTTCCTTTACTTTTTCTGATAATTAAATATACTTTGAAAGAAGAGAAAAATCTTTTTGAAATTCATTTAGCATGAATTCCCAGAATTCCTTACAAAATGGAGAATCGAGTTTTGAGTAAGCTTCAATATATGCACATGATATGCCTGCAAACATGGAGATCTGTCTCCCTCATGCTAACCCCTCCTTCTATAGCGAAGACCTTAAGAAGAGCCTCTCGGAGCTATTTAAAGTTCAGCCCTTTGGCAAACAAGCATCTGAAGGCCAAATCCTGCTCATTATATTTGCTTGTATATAGTAGAAAGTGTTGCTGTTTTGGAAGATTCACAAGCCACAATGAAATCACACATTACAATAAGGAAAACACCCAAAATACTCCACCATAAGTATTACTTGAGGCCTTGTACCAGATACTTCCAGCTTCCTGGTAAAATAGAAAGAGATGAATCTGGAACGCAATGAAAGATTTTTTTTTTCCTTTTTTCTACTACTGATAAATATCTATAACAAAATCTTTTTTTTTTTTTTTATTTTCCTCACAAATTAAAATAATGATCACTCCTGAGTTCTGGATGCAATAATCTTCAGCCTATAATTTTTATTAAGTGAGATTGTGCAATGCATTCTTTAAAGCAGAACACCTCTTTCATAAAATCCTGTCTTTGTCTACCCTAAGCAATGTTCAGTAAGAATGAGGATTTTGAGACTAATTATAGTCTGCTGTGCTATATTCATTCCTCTTTATTTGAAGTATTTATCTTGGAAATAAGATAATATAGGATGCCTTTCCACATACGCATCTTTAATTGTCCTATTTGTGAGCAAGGTGTGTCAAATTAGACCTCCTGATAGCCAATCCTGTTAGCACCAAAATGTCATCAACTTCCATTGCTTACAGCTGGAATGACTAATACCAAATGCATTCCATGATCAGATTCTAATAGAGATTTTATTCACATTTGAGCATGTAAATGTATAGATGTTAATGAGAATTAGAAAATAAAACTGCATTTGGGAGCGTTTAATTGGGACTAATTACAATTAAACAGAAAATAAGGTCATCTTTGGATACATGCAGCCTCATTTCTTATGAAAATCTATGCATATCATAGTTAATATTTTTGCAAGAATTAAAAATGTGTATTTTAATGTAACAGGAAGGAAATTTGTCTACAGTTAGTGTAGAAACAGTACAGAGAAGCAGAAAAAGTTCTGAATTGTTTCAGAGTATTGCACTGTGTAAATTATAATCAAAACAGGCAAGACTAATTATAAGAAATTGACTTCAACAGTAGTGCAATGATTTCACTTTAAGAGGATTTCACTGTAACAGCATTCATGAATCTATGTGTGGTAAGTTCCCCAATGATTAGCTTTTAGATTATCTTAAAAGCATAGGTTAAATTCTGCCTCTTTTATACTCAACCAAGTTCCTGCTTTAACCTTTCACTCAAACTCAAAATAATAATTTATCACAATAATTTATAGTTAAAAAAATCCATGAACATTACAACCTTGCACACTTTCTATGGGTATTAAATGTAGTTAGATCCATTTGCTATTCTATATGATCACTACTCAAAATCGATACAATTCTCTTTAAAATAGTTAGAGAATTTCTGAAGTGTTTTTGTACCATTTTCAGCCTTCTACTTATAAGGAAAGCTTTTTACCTGTAAAAAACCTATACTTCCCATAAACAAGGACATACAAATGCAGTGCAAAAAATCTTCAATCAGTTCTTTCTGTCCTTTAGCCTGTGTGTTAAATTTGCAACAGTCTGTCAGTCAGCAATAAAATATTTATGTTATTTTTTTCTCCCAGAAGGAATACAAAGCCTACTATTACCTTGACTTTTCTATTTGACAAGAAATACATGTGAATGCCTCAGACCTATTAAAGACACATGGCACTGTATGTGCCTATGCTGTATATGCCTCCCTAGTTCACGTTACTCTTATTTTCCCTTTACAGTTGTAGTATCTTTCACTATTGCATCTGGCAAGCCAAATGAGCTCTTTCTAGGTTCGTTGATTAATCAGGTATTTTTCCAGAGGATGAAAACAGACAGATGAAATAAAACTATTATGGCAATTTTTAAGTGAAAGTCTTTAACATCAACAAAGAACTTTTAAAAAGGCGTTTGTTTTTATAGAAATGTTTTTTGGATGAAAACAGGCCTACTTGCTCACCCTCGTTGTCCAAATACAAATATTCAAAAGTGACACAGTAAGGAATGATCCTCAACCAGCAACAGCACTTACATGACGACGGCACAGTTGCATACCAGAAGAAAAGGTCTATGACGTATCTAATTTATGTCATATAAATATGCTTTTTTGGTATAATCTTTAATCTCACCTTTAATCATAATCTTTAATCTCACCTTGGTTTTTTTGCATCACAATTACAGATTTATTCTATAACACACTGAAATTCATGATGAAATCAATATTTTCTATTGCTTTTATTCCTCAGAAACAGATGGACAAATATCAATTCCAATAAGGCACACGTTTTAGTGACAATGAATTATGGTACTAGTGGTTGGCCACCTATTTTTATCTCTTTGTCAATATTAAATGGTCAAATTGCTTTTCTTTAGTGTATGCAAAATCGTTTCGTTCCTAAACTATCAGTCTGGAAAGCTGATCACTAAACTGAAAAAACAACTAAGCAATGGAAAAGATTGCTCTTCTATTGCCTTATCAATAACTTTAAAAGTTTTAAATGAGAAAAACATTGCAAAACTTGTGTGTATGTGTTAAGGCAGGAACAATGAAAAACTTCTCAGAAACATATACGTCTATATGACATACACATATATCATATCTACTCATATTCATGTATATTATATGCATGAGTTTGTGTTTTGTTATTCAGTTTTATAGTTGCTTACTGATCAGTTATCATATTTCTTACTTTCACTTTGACTTCCATTTCATTGTGCTCTTTAATTAGCTCTTCATTTTCCAATAAAGACGAGCCTAGGTTTTGCCTGTGAAAATAATCTCCGATGTTGTTCTTGTACCACAATGTTACCTAGATAAACAACAAAAATGAATTCTCATCATTAGTGCAAAACTTCTGAAATTACTATCCAATCTTTAAAACATGTACAAAATAGTTTCATCTACAAAGAAAGCCCTAATTTTCATTGATTCTTCTGCAAATGCAGAAAAATTTACTCTGCTAAGCAGGATGAACTGCTTAAATTGTCCCTCATGGTGCTCACCAGCCTCAAACTACAGGCATGATCTAATAGGTCGCTAAATGCTGACCCCTCTCCCCAGGTTATCAGAAAAACTGTCAGTAGACATGAGTTTCTGTGCTGATACATTGTGATGTGAGCACCTCCCTGCGACGGGAACATACATACATAAAACTCACTACATAGTGAGCATTTTCCATCTTGCCTAATTCTGGGTGAATTCCATCCAATTACTCCCAAATATTTGCCCATTACATGATGAGGACAAGTGGACATCTTTGGCAAATTTTACCAAATCATGTAGCATTTAGCATCTCAGGTATTGTGACATTTTTTTGAAAAGAGTGGCTGGCTCCAAAAAGCCATCTTTATCCCTTACTTGCTCTTAAGCAGCAAGCTATTTCAGAAATGTTCCTGTTTTGAATGCTCCTCCCTATTTTGTTTACTGCTGGATAACACTGGGATGATCAGGTTATTATAGTAATATCTAATGCTTTTTAATGTAAGAGAAAGGGTATGGAAAAAGGTTCTTTTTTTTTTATGTGTTAAGAGAATTTATTTCCAATCTACCAGGTTAGCCTGTCATTCAAACTTAAGCTGTAGCTGTTGTAAAGTTATTAGAGAACCTGGTGAATTGAAACAAAATTTCCTTTTGAGGATCTTTCTTCTATAGGATAGTTATAGGGTGATAAGGAAAAAAACCCCAAAACAATAAGAACAGTAGCAATGTCTCTCTCCAGGTAAGCACTAGATGGTATTTAATGATTTGCACAGAAAAGGCTACAGCCTATCTTGCAGTTCCTGTTGTCATTATTTCTATTTAAGATGCAGATTTTTTGTCAGCTATTACTCTCTAACTAGATGCTGAGATTAGGACACTTGCATAAGACCATACTATTTTTATCTATTCTGTCTAATCATTCAATAAGTAATTCTTGCTCTGATTCTGGCAATATTCATCCTGAGCGCTCCAGAATAAGGCTGCCAGTTTGGTTGTGTACCTCACCAATTATATTGCCTCTATCCAAAACTACAAGTAGTTGTTCTTGTTGAATAAGACTCAGGTTAACCAACCTCACAGGCAAAGTGAGTGCATACAGAATAGACTACAGTTCCTTAACAGTCTTTAACGGTTTCCTCTGACACAATGGGAAATTTTCTTTCGGAGGCAAGGAACGAAACTTACAGGGATATCACAGTTAGGAACGTACTGCCTGTGGTCTACATAACATTAGCCTATTTACAAGATACTGAAATTAACTCAGTTTGCGTCTTGTTAGACTTTGGTAGTTAAATTTGCATAGGTTCCTCCTTCTCTGAGCATACTTAATATTCAGCAACTCAGAAGGCTGAGCAAGACTCTCTGTGTATTTGCACTGACAAGTTGGTGAAGCTTTTGTGGTGTCTTTCATGGAAAATAAGAGGAAAGAGTCTGATGGTGCAGAAATTCCTCTGATAGCTTTTCTCTTTTTGTCCTCCATGTTATCTGATTCGAATGCTGGGAGATGAGCACAAAGGAAAAGTGCCAGAAAGAGAAAAAGCAGTGGGACTTGAATATATGTAGGGTCTGAAGGGAAGGCAAAAAAATAAATAAAAAAATAAATAAAATAAAACAGAATATATTTGGGAGATTCAGTAAGAGATAGGAGCTAAGCTGGAAGAAAAAAGAAGGAAGAGAAACAGATCGTGGGTGTGGAAAACCTGCCATCACCACAGTACCCTAAAGAACTTTGATTTGACTCCAATAACACAATAATCCTCTGCTTTCAGTCACACCAGCTGGCTAAATATGTTATATCTTCTCTTTAACTGACTAGTCCAGAAACAGTCTGCTGCAGTTATGACTGCTGCTGTCAGTTACTGTGTTAGCTCACGTAGCTAGAGGTTTGTGCTGGGAATCTGATTTGAAAGGAATCAAATTTAGTTTGAAGTACCAAACTTAATAACTTAAAAGAGGGGGAGGGAATACCACATGATAGAAATAGTGCTTTTGAAAACATTATGGTTATATTAAAATAAATTATGAGGAAGTTACAGCTACAAAATCAAATATTCAGAAATTAGGAATCATCAAATGAAAGATATTCAGGGATACTGACCTACTAAACATATTTCAGCTCCTTTTCTTGTTACCATCTCTACTGTGGAATAGTTTCTTGATCTTTTACTGGGGCTTTCCTAAATAATGCATCTTACCTGATTCTCTTGTTGGTGCCACAAACAAATGTGCAGAACCTGCTCGAGTCCTTGGCGTTGGTGTTTAAGAGATCTGTCCAGTTGCCGTCTCCGGTCTTGTAATAGTTCAAGGAGATTGTCAATTTTCAAGCAGCTGCTGTGGGCTCCCTGAATCAGTTCAGGATTTGCATTTGGCCCCTCAGATTTGAATCCTTCTATGAATTCAGTTAGCTCTTGACTTTTGTTTAAGAGGGCCAGTGACTTTTCCAAGAGCTCTGTAAGAACAGAATTTCATAGGAAAAAAATGTGATTTTAAATGTAGTGGCATATGTTAAATATTATTCAAGCATGTTTAAAACTATATACCAATTAACACACACAATTACCATACACATATACAATGAACAGAAGTTCATACATTGCCTGAATACGTTATAAATACTGTCTTCTAGAAAGTTTATATCCTAAGACATTTCAGTTTGGACAGCTATTGTATAAACACATCAAAGTATAAAGGGGTGTGTGCGCCTGCATGCACGTGTATGTGTGTGTGCATGCAAATGTGTGTGTGCGTGCATGTATATATGTATATCTAAAGCATAACAGTGCACAGACAACCAAGTGATATTGTCTTCTCCAAGCCAAGTGCTTGTTTTCTAGTTTCCTAAGACTCAGCAAAGCTCAAGTGAAATTTTCTACCCTGCTTTCTGTGTGGGTCAGTAGCCTCTTTTTTTTTTTTTTCCCCCTTTGTGATGCAAGTCAAATTCAGGGGAGTTTATTAAAATTTAGGGTTTTAGAGGTTTTTTACACCTAGTTCAAGATCTTTTTAGCAGACAAAGACTAAGATCAGCATTTACAGGTCTTTGAAATAAAAAGTGTTTTAGGAAAGGACTCAGGAAGAAAGAGGGTCCTCAAAGCCAGAAGAAGAGGCAAGATAAGCAGGGAGAAAAATATAAGCAAGGAATGTTTGCAAGGAGTTACTAGTGAAGCAGCCGTATGACAGACAGCAAACAGCTGGAATATTCATCTTCCCAGCTAAGCACATGTGCTGATAGGGTGCTTTGGCCTGAACTAGCTCTCCACCTTTCATGTGGAGTGGTTAGGTAAAACACACAAGTGGAATGCCTCCACCTCTCCAGCAATGAAGGGCTAACAAGAGAATTTAGCATCCAGGAGCTCACCGAGACAGCGTGTAAATTACACTTCTTGCCTTCCAGGAAGGCAACAGAAAATCTGAAATATTCAATTTCAGTCCATCCAAAACAGCACACTTCTAAAAATGTGTAAATATGCAAACTTTACATATCTGGGCCTTTTTTATTCTCATTTGAAATGCAATTGTTTCAAAACTTTTTTTTTTTTTTTTTTAAGTGAGAAATACTTGTGACAAACTACTCATCACATACTGGTAGAGCCAATGTTTTGTAAAGGTCATATTTTCAGCAGTCTTGCTTCAAATTAAGCAGATTGTGTCTTCCTCACAGAAAATAAATACTATTTTTATCAAATAGTTCACTACCAGTTTTCCAAATTTGATGCAGTTAAGAAAGGTAAGGGAAAGGGGAATCAACTGCAATCACTTCTCTCTGACTGAGGAAAGAAATATCCCTTTCAAAGCCATCTTTTCTCTGGCAAACCACTTCATCTAATTCTAACAGTTACAGACCCTCTTTTCAGCAGTGACAATACACAGTTGTCAGATTTAAGTTAAAATTGCAATACGGTGAGCGCTTTCCGCCATGAAGATTGAACTCGAACCTCCAAATCCCATGTTAGAGTTATCTGAGATCAGTTCTCTATTCTCTTCAGAGGAATACCTAGCATTCAAGGTAGCTATGTTTTAATACAGTAAAATCTTTCTACATTGAGAGTACCGTAACATGGCAGAAGATGCTTCTCATGAATGAGCAAAGAGAAGTAATAGGAAAAAATTTGTCTAGGTAATATACATGCAGGATGTTTGTGGTGGAAGGGGAGAGGGCACCTTGTTACCAGAGTGGTAGGGTTGTGGCTACAGCACCTCTTAGAACAAACACAACAACTTCACAGAGTAGTAAAACGCAGCACAACTCCTCAAAGTCAGAGGTAGAATGCAGGGAATTCATGTAGGCGACTGTCCAGCTGCCAGCTATAGCTCACAGTTCCCATCCTCACTTCATTTTTGCCTCAGACTTCACCCCTAAATACAGGGGAGCAAGGGTAAAACTTACCTTTGGGCCACTCTCAAGAAGCTGTGGGACTCTAAAGGGGACTGGTACTAGAGCTGATTGGAAGCTTTTGCATGGACTGTTTTCCATGGGAAAATGCTAATTCACTGATAGGCATGTGTTGACGTTGATGAACTTTCCAGTGAAACATACACATGGTTTTAGAACTTGCTTGCCAATCAGCACTGAAAGTCAGCTTAGTTTCTTAGCAGCTCACTGAACCTGGACTGCCTTAAACTCAGAACACAAAGCCTAGAACTACGTGCTCTGCAGCAACAAACATGGAACCATGAGAGAGCTAGCTCAAAACCCAGGAATTGCATAGCTTTCGGGAGGCATGTTCAATTATTTCACCATTATATTTTCCCAATTAGAATATTTTCACATTTGTTCTAAGAGGTTTTAAAAACAAATAGGCATGGGAAGAACAGAATCATCTTTCAAGGAGTCAGTGCACACTATCAGGAAGGGAATACTGCCTGTACCTTTTGTATGATGCTCTTGTTGCAGAAGGAGTTCTCTCAAAGAGTCAACGTTTTCAAACTCTTGGGCGTTTTTGAGGAAATCTTCAACTTGGTCAATTTTAACAGCAAACTGCATTAGAAAAATAAAGAGTGGAAAGAAGAACAGTACAATTATCTTTTACAGGACTCCATTATAATCTATGTATTTTAGGGCAAATTTATGAGAATTGAAAATTCTCAGAAAAAGATAAGCATTTCTAGTGACTGCTAGCTACAGGTGCTTTGTGGCCTCTGTGCTTCTTCAGTTTTTCTGAAGTTTTCATTTGACTGAAGGAACTCAATATTCAATTGATATATTCTGTAATTACAGTTTGTCATTTTATGATGTGTCACTTTGTGATGATTCATAAATCATCTTTCCTACACAGTCTTCAAGACCATTGAAAATTCTTTTAGAAGAATCTATGAATTTTAAAGCCTTTTGTAAAGACCCATTTTAAATGAATGAAACCTTTAACTTAGGTCTCCATCCCAGAAATTCTTTCTCATATTAAAATATTAAGTTCACAACATTTGAGGGAAACATCAGACAGATACAATCTTCAAAGCAATCTTATGAAGGTAGCAATGAGTAGCAAATTTAAGCTAATACAATGGTAAATAACTGATTATAGTGGATCAGCACTATATCTATCATGAAGACTGAAGTTAGCTTATTTTTTTACAGTTCATTTTTCCACGTATTCCATGTTTTAAATATTGAAACATGCTGTACTTCAGGGAGATCTGGAGCAGATCTGGTAATGCAGTTCTGAGATCGCATGAGCAAAAAACTGCCAAGACAGTCCGATTATACTCTATAGAGTAATTAAAACATCTTGAAATCATCTGACTCACATTAGGATTGCAGAGTGATTTCAAATGGATATTACCCCTTAGAACAGATTTCACCCATGGAAAGGTGTACTGAAAAATTATTCAGAGCACCAATCAGAACAACAAGGCGGTTTGGAACAAAGTGATAAGTCACAAACCTTTAAGCGTGACTATTAGACATTCTTATAACATACAAAGCACTGCTAGTCAGTATTATTCATGATGCATTTAAAAAGATTTAAATCAGGAAATCATTTCAGCCAGCTACACACTTTTCCTTTTGTTAAACCTATTTTTTTTTTTCCCTCATCAGCTATGTCCTATTCCTTCTGAATAATTTCATTGTGTAGTAATTAGCAAACCAGACCCTGGCCGCCTAAAGCTTTGATGAAACCCTGACTAAGAATGGAATTTTTTATTTGGCTTCCATCTTTAAAGGTGCATTGCCAAGTATGAGCACCCTAACCCAAGTTATTAAAAATCTAGACCCAAAGATCAGGCTAAGATACAGAATTTATCAATTCTCTTGCTTGATTGCAAGCATGAAGAAATTAAGATAGTTCACATTTGTATTTCAGTGTAATCAAAGATGTTGAAACCTGTGGTGAAATTAAGAAAGATAAAAAGTAAGCTCAATGCTTTTTTTTTTTTTTTAATCTATTGTTCTATGTTTTTCTCCCTCTTGATCTGTATGCTATGAAACAAATCCATTACATGCCAACATTTGGGATTTGAGTTCTGATTTTCATTAAAGAATATTCCTGAGATTAAGTTTGCTCTTTATCACAATAAAAAAAAGATTAACATAATCACAGGCTGTCTTTTAAAGAAAAGGCTTTCCAAAAGAAATTTAAACAATTCCTATTTAAACCAATATTGCATTTCTTCTTTGCATCTATATCTAATGGGTATGATTTGTGCCCTGCTCCAGCTGTGGCACATTGCTTTAGTGATATAAGCCTGTTATAGGGCCAAATCAAGTAGTCCCTTAAGGATTTACTCTGCATTGGGTCAACCTTTGGTTGTAGATAAATTCATCATAGTGATACCTATGCTAAATCTGTAGCAATCTCTTTGTATAACACAAATAACCAGGACACTGTAGTCTCCCCTTGGAACTCTTAGGACAGTTGGCACTAGAATGGTTGCTTCCGTAATTTAAATGTGACACTAGACCATTGCAGAAGCAGATTTATCAGGGAGAATTGTTAAACCTTGTTTAAACAATTGTTGGTGTCTGAGCCCTGCTCTTTGATGGATGGTACATACTTTGAAATAAAGATATGAAAACTTCACATTATTGAATGTCTAACTCCTGGAGCAAATTCAGCCTACTTTTGTAATGCCAAGATCCTCTTAATAACTCCAGGGATGTGAAGAGAACAGAAGGCAGGGGGCTACACAGAGCAAGCTCACACCTGCAGGCTGTGGAAACCCTCAGGTTTTGTTCCCTGAGCTTTTATTCCCTGCATAGCTGTGAGTCAAGATAAGAGATACAGAGAAAGAGATAAACAGGGGTAATGACAACACTCTGAAATCTCTCACTGGCCTCACACAATTGTCCGTTGCGCATGGCTGCATATGGAGATCTTCAGTAAAGTTAGACTAAAAGCAAGTTAAACTAAAAATTAGTTTGTAAGTGTAACTGTAACAGCTGTACATATTTCAGTGTAAAATCTTAGTGGTTAGTCTTTAGTGAGCATTAGTGAAGGCATCCAAGAATTTAGCTCTTTCAGTGTCAAATAAATTAATCATAAGGAATGAAACATGTTCTGGAGAACATCCAGAGCCACTGAATTATGTACTTCACATTTTGGTCCAGTTCCATTTTTCACTGTCATTTTTCTGTCAAGTAGAAATTTTGGATATGTCATGACTAAGATATTTCTGAAAGCCTCTATGTTTTTGGTTCAATTTCATCTTTAACTATCCAGAAAAAAGGAAAAAGAAGGATGGGATGCATCTAGGGATTTTTTTTTTTTTTTTTTTAAATCGACTGAACCTTTAAGAATGCAATGGATATATAAAACAAAGGAAATACACACGAGTTCCTGCAAGATATGGGAAGTTTCAAATTGAGAGTCATTTGATTCTAAATACAAACCTCCAGAGCATTCTCGAAGAACACTGCCGTAAGTTCCAGAAGTGCCCTTCGCTTCTGTAACATAATGATGAGGGCATCCCATGCATCCCCAAGGGTCTCTGCCATAGCATCATACACCTGGCTCTGTTCTTTGTTCTCCTCTGCAGCCTTGTCTGCTTCACGCAGCAGGTCCCACACTCGGTCTTCCAAAGTCTGACAAGAGGAAAAAATGAACAAAGAAATTCATAAACAGAACTCAAAACACCATGTTGATGTTGGCCTAAGGATACCTTTTCAGTGGAACTGATAAATCATCCACAACTCTCCTACTCTTGCTCTATTTTCAGTTCCTAATGACAGGAGTGTTGCTGTTCCTGTATGTTTCACAGCAAGCTTCTGAATTTCTCTCACACTTAGAGACAATATTTTCATGCAACTTTATTTAAAAATGAGTGTTAAGGGAATCTATCATTCTACCTCTTAAAAATACTAGAATCTGGATTTAATCTCCTTGAATATAAATCTTCTTGCACGTGTTAGCGATGAAAATATTTGAGATCTTCTTTTCATATGCCATGATATAATGAGTTTATTCCCCCCCAAAAAGTCTAAAGGTTTGTCACGTAACTTACTTCAAGTCTTCAATGATTTCAGTACAATCCAGACAAGAGTAGTTTGAACATATGCGTGTTGTCTCTAGAAAAAACACTTTGAGTATGTGCAATGTTTCCTATTCTGCTTGCTGTGTTGCTCAAGTTGGCCACATGTTCTCAATACTCATTTTCACACAAATATTCATATTGTTAAGAAAATCATTCTACTGTGTTTCATTCCCTTTACTAACTTTACCATGAGAAAGATGACCGCTGGGCCATTTCAAGCTTACATTAAAATCTTTAGTGTATCAAAAAATTTGATTAGCATTTGTTCTAAAATTTTTTCTTCACCTTGGGTGTTTATCATGAGCAAAGTTAATGAAGTGCCAATTTCTGCTGTTATTACAGATGCTATCACATGAACGTGTAATGGGAAAAGAAATTTATATTAGGCAAATTAAAATCTATGATAGCTCGTTCTCAAGACAGAGCTTCCAATAAGACTAAAAAATAGCAAAACTTGAAATTCCCCTGACAGATCAAACTCAAAAGAGGAGATTGCAGAAAACTAATTCTTAATTGTTCTAAGCACAGAACCAGTCTCCAGCCTTCCCTAGACCTTGTATACCACACAAAAATAATAATTTGAACTGAAAGGGTTGATCACTTCTCTCTAAAAGCAGTACTATGAGAATGGTATAATAACAAATGAAGCTTTTATTCTTTTATAAAAAGAATAGAACGAAATTATTTTAACTTATTTTTATACAGAGCCAACTAAGAAAAATCAGAGAATTGTTTTACCAAAATCCAATCTATGAAGAAAACACATTCTGACATAGCACAGCAGTAAAATAAATGGGCATAAGAGCACATCCACCACTGCAATCTTCTTCGCAGTATATCGAAAAAGTTTCATTATTATCTATAGTATGAATCTACACTTATCATTTAGTGAGAAACCCGTAACAAAGAGCACCTAATCAAAACTCAGTGTTTCAGAGAACAACACATACTCTTGCTTTTACTTTCTGAACAGCAACACTGCTGATGGAAACTGCTGCTTTCTAATCCTTCTGCAAAATCAACTTTTTGTTCTGTTGAGCCAATCCCTATCCTGACAATGCGGAAATAAAAGACCAAATCCCCCAAATCCTACCTGCTCTGTACAATTAACATCTATTTAAAATGGTGCTCTAATTTGAAATCAGGTGAGTTCCACGAGGTAGATACCATCACTCTGATATCAACTATTGATAGCAACTGTTTTATACCTCCATTACACCAGAGTGAGATAAGAATCAGATGAGGAAAAAGAGTTGGCTTTGAGAACCTAATCCATAATACTTCAATCATATTTTATTCAGGAAGGCTTATCTATCTGATAAGGTAACTAAGGGTTGTTGCAAGGGTTTGACAAGTCTTATATGCAGCAGTTAGAATCCTTAAAGAAGGGTACAGATTCATGATAATTTTTATATTGCAGAAATTATTTGGTTGTATGATTAAGTACAATTTAAAAATCAGCTTCATCAAACTAATGATAATTGTCAGAGTTAATGAACCAAGCTCATGCAAATTTTAAAAGAAAATCCATCTTTCACTGCAACCCTCAACACAGTTCTTTGAAGACTACGTTATTTGTTTTCCTTTTACTGGCTTGCATCATTATTACTCAAATATTTTTAGATTACCAAAGCTATAAAAATCATATTGCCCATGCAAAGTTGGATTTTCCTAAATACGTGCACAATCTCTTCAGAGTTAACAGAACCTTAATAAGCTAAACTGCAAACATTAACCCCAAAATGCTACCTGTGTTGGATGAATCCAAGCCAACAGCTCTAAAAAGTTTATTTTGCTTCCTAGCACCTAGAAAAAGATCTGTTCTGTCTCAGTCTAACGGAAGCTTTCAGGTCAGACTGGGGATGAAGGCAGAGAAGGTCAGAGCATAAAAGGAGGTAGTTTTCTACATCCCTGTCCTTCCTTAGTCCTATCCCCATTGCTAAGCCAGCTTGTGTCACAGAATAAAAGTAGTATCATGACAGCATATGCATGAATGAAATACACGGAGAATGTGACTTCATCATCGTCTTTGCATCTGTGATTGATGCAAAATATGACGTTAACATAGAAATATACTTCAGTAGGCTTAGTAGATATAGCCTAATATGTTCTATCAGTGGAACATCTTTTTAATCTTTTTGATGGAGAAATCATTTTCAAAACTTTTTCATGAAAAGCATTTGCTCTTGGCATGTAACTTAAGTTTGACTTTACTTGAAAAAGTGAATGCCATAAGCCAAAAAAATAAAAAAATGGAAAACTGTGTTGTCATAACTCTATTCATTATGCCCACTTTCCTCTATTTGTAGGATTTCCTCACCATGGCATTTCTCTTTCAGTGGAGAATGAAACTATGAGATACCCAAAGCAGATATTCCATAGGCAGCATGACTACAGCAATACGGCCACATCAGAATTCTTAGTATTTAGTCAAAATCTTTCTGCGGAAAAATAAAAACATTCACATTAAGGCTAGGTGATGGCTAGAAAACAAATTTGTAGATATGCTAGTAGTCACTGTTATCAGCTAAAATTGACCAATGGGTAGGGATTATTTTCCTAATATTTGTCAGGGAAGTTAGCAAAAGGGTAGTATATAATACTTCTAACTCTTTCAGAAAATAGACAACAGTTTATGGAAAGTATTGACGGTCTGGGGTTTTTTTTAATAGTAATTGTCTTCAAAAGTAAACTACAGGCATGACGACTGCATAATCTTGCCCATTTGCCCACATTGCTTACTTGTTTGAGAAACACGGATTAAGCCTTGAAATCTCCAGTGGTCACACAATACTTACAGGAAGAAGCCACTTACTTCAGCAACAAGGCCACTGTGCCCATCTCTTCAGGCCCCCCTACTCTATTTCCCATCGTGTCCCTGGTTGGTTAATTTCAAACATATTAATAATGCAGTCACATTTCTAGCATGTTGTACAATGCTGGTAAAATTGGTGATTAAACTCATTGTATGCTATTTCTTTCTAATGTTACTGATTATGCTACTACATTTGTTTCTAAGCTTTTGCACAAGGAACACTATTGAACAATTTCCTTAACTGAAGCTATTTGCCAATAGGTAAGTAGACACATAAAACTATAATATGCTTCTCTCTCTAGATGCGTAGTCTATACGTACAATAAACATATTTTAGTCTTCCAAATTATTTCTAATGTCAGCTGTTCCTGCTATCACTTATTACATTTCACAAACAGCATAAAGGCAGGATATGGCATTTATGTTCCTTCTGAACAGACCTAGATATTGATTCTCAAAATCTATTTTGAAAACACAGCCAGAACGTGCACAAGATTGTTTTAAAGGCTACCCCAATAAAAGTGTAAAACAAAACGATCTTTCTGTTACCACGAAGACAATGTCAAGGATAAACTGACTAGCTTTTCAGACAAATAAAGTTATTAGTAATTCTTCATGTTGCACTGCTCTGTGCAGTGTTCCATTTCATCAAAATAATGAATATTTTCTAACTACACATCATAGCCTAACATGAAATGCCTAAGGCCCTTTGTGTCTGCAGGGCACAAAAATGCTTCACAATCTTTTCTAACAAGTCATCCTACTCAAAGCAATAAATAACACTTCAGATACACATTTCAACACTCATACTATTTCACTCTTAGAAAAAGATTCTAGAAAAATCATGAGTCAAGAAGTGAAACATTAATAAAAAAAATTAATCATTTTTCAAAAATTATCAGGCAGAGAAGCTGTGAGATATTTGACAGAAACCTGAATTTTAATGAGTTTGTTTTTGTTTTTGTTGAATGGACTTAACAGAGTTTTCCAGTAAGGCCTGAACTTTCTATTTCAACCATTTTTGGAATGAGATGTTTCAGTTTTCTGTTTTGGCATGGCTTTTCTACTTTTAATGTAATAGAAATCAAAATTAGGATTAAACGTTTTGAGATTTATCATTTCAACGGAGCAGAAACAAATTCAAGAGGATTTTGTTTCATGGGAAATTTTGATTTGGGGTTTATTTTTCCAGTTTCCACAGTGGAAAAAGTAAGAAACACATCCAGTTTTATCATGTGGTAGTCTTATTTCTCACTATTACGTGGCATGCACATATACAGAGTACTTTTCACTTCATATACTATTTATTTCTTTTTATGATTTTTCACTTCCTGTGATCACACAAAAAAAACCATAGGATGGTATGTTTCTTTAGTCAGCTCCAAGGACCTGCAATGAAGCTTGACAATATAGGGAACATCTTGCACCTAGTCAAAAAGCGTTTTTGCACACATGCAACTTCTGCTGCTCTCAGTAAAACCATGCAATAAAAGTACTGTTTTCAAAACTGCAGGCCAGTTTCAATTTTTGCCTGAGATGTTATTTTTCCTTTCATCTTCCCCACTGCTCTATTCACTGTACCAAAGGAAAATATTGATCAATAAAAGAAACAATGTTCTGGTTTAGATTTACTGAGAGGAACTAAGAGGGGCAGAATCCCAGGCTTGCGGCACGCATGCCGCGCAGCAGTTGTGCGGCCACACAACTCTCGCCCCACCCATTTTCAGGGCTCTGGT